TGAATATGGAAAGTTTAAAACGTAACTGCATTTAAGTTAGCATTGCTTTATTGATAAATTAGAAGAAAAAAATTCCATATGATTGGGTGTAATTGCATATTTGAAAGTAGTTTTTAGTTCTGATCAACTGTTTCCAATATCGATTTTTTATATTGTCAAAAATAGTAGTTTACTCTTGATCCAAATTCATATTTTTTGAGAAACCACTGAAGAAAACCAATATCTGATAGTTCCATTACAGATTTAAGACCATGCTGGATTTTTTGAAAAAAATAACGTTTTTTTCGTAAAATCAACAATAAAAATGTTTTTCATTTGGTGCGAACTTAAGCAGACACACTGTTTAAACCAATTAGGAAAAAAATAGAGGTAAAATAGAGTGGGTTAAGTTTTTGTTGGAACTGCCTGTGTAGGTGTTGAGGTTTTGCCAGTTTCGTTGTTCCGATTGCATTAACTACATTTTCATTTCAAAAATGCCTCAGTTTTATACTGATCACAGTATAATCACCACGTCATTTTGATTTCAGGATTCAAAAATGTCATTCAAGGAATTCTTTTACAAGTGTTCCTTGTTTCTTCTTCGTATTCTTCGAGCAATTACCCACCCTATTCTGGTATGTAAAGCAAAAGGTAAAAAACAGGTCTTGCCACCTATCAAGAACGATGTACTCAAAATAAGTGCCACTGATTTAGCCAGAAAAATAAGAAGAAAAGAGGTAAGCATCCATGTGTAACAATAAAGATTCATTGAGTCAATAACGTTCAGGGGTGAAGTAAGTGATAAGGATTGGTATAAAGAGTATCATGATAACCCTAAGGTATATGTGAGAGAAGAGGTCGAGTTGAACTGATTGAAAAGAAAACGGGACTTTCATTAATCGCTTGCTATCTTTAAATTTGAATAAAACAAAGTGTGTGTGAGATCATCAACATTTTTCATTCGTTTGAAAGCACATGGGTGGAGCACATCCGAAACGTCCAATTTTTCATTACTCTGGCGCATAAATCATGCTGAATTTGACCGATGGCATGGGTTATGTTGGGTTTGAGGACCGCTGTGGTTTTTGGCTTATTCGCGTACACCTGCGACTCAAGAAAACCTCACAAGAAAAAGTCTAACGGTGTCAAATCGCACGATTTCGGTGGCCAGTTCACAACGCCCCCACGTGAGATGACATGCCCCAAAATCGCTCGTGCTGACTATCCACTGTCTAAGCACTACATCCAATGTCACAAGCACTACAGGAAAATCCTGTATTTAAAAAAAATATTCTGATTATGCTGAAACCATTTTAAATGGAATTTCGGAAAGACAACGAGAAGAAAAAAATATAATTATATATAAACTGAAGGATGATGGCCAAGACTCCGATATGAAAAATGCACAAAAATGAAAAATATGTTGAACATGCTTGGAATTGAACAAACTAATAACCAGGTGTGCTCAATACAGCAACACCATTGTTGACTATGTACTCCCCAATTTTGATGTCAATACTGTCGTTCATGATTCCCCAAAGTTAACTGATCATTCATTAATAACAGTCAATTTGAATTGAAGGGGTTATATTTTTAGGAGTGATTAATTTTTGGAAAAGAAAGTTTTTGGCTTTCTACTACTCCATATCTGTCTTTTTTTGATTGATATCTGACATACAGATACCAATATCTGTCAAGTGACTCGAACAATGTATCCAGTTTAAAACCAGTTACATGTGGAGTTCCCCAAGGCTCGGTTTTGGGACCTCCTCTATTCATAATCTATATAAATGATCTCTTTTCCTCCATGTCACCTCATAATTGTTTTGCTTTCGCAGATGATACTAGTCTTACGACGACCGGAAAAATCAAAGGTAAAATGTTGCGCGATATAAATCAAATTCAAAAGAATGCTGATAAGGTTCAAAAGAAATAATCTAATGTTAAACGAAAATAAAACTCAACACATTATTTTTACATCAAACACATCTTGGGTTAAAGGACACAGTTTTAAACTCTTAGGCATACATCTAGATAACTGATTAGAGCACATTGAACAACTTAGCATTAAAATGTCGAATAAAATAAATTATCTCATCTTATCTTAAAAAAACGTTCATATGTCGCGAACTTTATGTGTGACACTGTATAAAAAATTTTTTCTCTCCAACACAATGAATAAAATAAAATGAGAAACTGTTTTTTCGTCCTCCAAAATGTTTTGAAACTGAAAAATGAATCTAGTTCCTTTTTAGCTTTCGAGTTTAGAAGTATGCAAAGCATATATAGACCGTATACAAGAAGTAAACCCTATCTTGAACGCTGTCGTCGAAGACAGATTTGAACTTGCAATAATGGATGCTAGGAATACTGATATTTACTTATCAACATGTACACTAAGTGAAAAGGAACTGGAAGAAACCAAGCCGTTATTGGGTGTTCCACTAACTGTCAAGGAAAGCTGTTGTCTGAAAGGTAATTTACAAACTTTCTTATGATCAACCCATACATCGGACTTATTCAGCGTTTCTCATCATAATGTATGGTCGATGTTGCATCATTTGAGTTCTTCCAGTGGAGAAGCTGCTTCGAAAAAAATTATGAAGTAGACCAGCAGAGCAATTTTCCTGCGAATAGTTTTTTTATTTCAGAAACAGCCGCATTAATCGTGAGGGGTTATTAGCGTTGGACCATTTGTGTATAATTATATTTCATATACCATATGTATAGCTACCATAAAAGTTGAATTTTACCGGAGTTTTTTTCAACACCAAACCGTTATTTCAACGCCACCTCCACTTTCAAGAGGAAGATCAAACTGAAGAACTTCCTCTTAAAGATGATAACTTGGTGATCGAAACACGTGTCGAGGTGTTAAAAATAACGATTTGGTGTTGGGAAAAAACTCCAGTAATATTCATTACTACACCGAAGGTTCCAAACAGTGCATCACAAGATCATAAAAGTTAACAACTTTTAGATGATTTCATTTATAGTTAGTCTTCAAGTATGCCTACTGACTATATGTAAAAACTTCTATTACAGGTTTGGAATACTCCGTAGGCCATTTTCCAAAAGCAGGAACAAAGGCTGAAACTGATAGTGAAATTGTTGCCAGACTGAAAGCTAGCGGAGCCATTCCATTACTAGTATCCAACAACCCCGAGCTATGCATGTCTATAGAAGCTTACAATTTGATTACGGGCACTACCAACAACCCCTATGACACAACTTGTACCTGTGGAGGTTCATCAGGTGGAGAAGTAAGTGATTTTATTTCCATCGAGTTTGGAGATGGGGAAGTAGTTCCAATTTGAAATATTACCATAAAAACTGAGATTTTTTTGTACTGGGGACTAATGTCTGACTCATCCATTTATTTCAAGTCTCTGGAAAATATCTCGGCATTTCCGTACCAGTCTCATGCCTCGCTTGGATTCCTCAATGCCGTGTTTACGTTTTAAATTGACTGACCGAATGACTGACTGACTCACTGACTGGCCGACTGACTGGCTAACTGACTGACTCACCGACTGGCTGACTGACTCACTAACTAATGAATTGACCAACTGACTCACTGACTGACCAACAGACTCACTAACTCACCGACTGACTGACTGACTGACAGACTGACTGACTAACTGAGTCTCTGGAAAATGGCTCGGTATTTCCGTACCGTTTTCATGCCTCGCTTGTATTTCTCAATGCCTTGTTAATGCTTCAAATTGATATTCCTTGCGCCTTGCAAAATTGCATACACTCTCTTCTGGAAGACGAGTGTGTATTGTGCAAGCGGGTAGTTGTAACGTAATTTTCGGCATGTACAGTATATTTTTTAACAGACAATTCAAATGAAAACATCAGCCGAATGACTACCTGACTCACTGACTGACCGAATGACTGACTGAGTCACTGACTGACCAACTGACTGTGTCACTGACTGACTGACTGACCGGCTGACTGACTCAATAACTGACCAACCGGCTGACTGATTCACTGACTAACGAACTGGTCAATTAACTCACTGACCGACTGACTCACCGGCCGACTAACTAACAAAATGACCAACTGACTAACTGTATCACTAACTCACTGACTGATTGACTGACTGACTGATCGACTGACTCACTAACTGACTCTCTGGTTGACTGATCGAATGACTTACTCACTGGCTGTCTCACTCACCGACTAACTGACTCACCGTCTGAAACTGGATTATTCAGAATTAGAAATACTTACCTTTCTTCATAGTTTATTACGGACCGCTAATTCTTCAATTAAATTTGTACAGCATGCTATCAATACTCGTAACAGTTCAGTTAAGACCGTTAATGTTGACTATTAATTTGTTGACATCAATTTGATAAGAAATAATCTTTATTGGAGTTGCCTTCCTAAGCGCATCACAAACAGATCTCTCTCTCTCTCTCGTCCTCTCTTTCCTTCTTTCTATCTCTTGCTTTCTCCACCCTACAAAATTACCGTCTGGTTATAGAGGATTAGAATTACTATTTTGTTTGCTGGCTACAATACAAGCTTGCTTAGATAGTCGTAAAATTCATTAGTTCTCTTTGGATTATATGATTTCTAATTTATATGTATGTATATATGTTTTCTTCTGTCATAAACGAATATATGTATCTATCTTATAAGTGAATCGAATAAATTCACTAACTTACTTACGATTTCAATTATTCAAATTCATGCATTCGTTTAATTATGTTCTCCTGTTTTGATTTTATTTTGGTTTGGTAACTAACCAAAATCGTTTGTTTTTTCAATTTGGAAATAAATTTTTGAATCACGGTCATCAAAGCAGTTGCTGACATTTAAATAACCAATACATAGAAGTCGACTCAAAACAGTCCCGTTGGCACTCCTACTGAATTTTGAAAACAATTTCCCTTTTTTACATACTTGTCAATCAAGGCAGTTCCAACCATATAATGACTTAAAAGGTGCTTATAGTGTCTGGTTGAGGATTGCAAATATGCCATAATTTCAGAAAAATGGCAAAAATATCTAATTATACGAAGTAATTCTGAATCTTTGAGATTCAATATTCTTTACTTAATTGACATGTGGAGATTCTGGAATTGGTACATTGCGGTTTTTGCAAATTTTATTGATGATCTCAAGGTTGCAGATTACGAATTTCTAATAATTTTTAAAAACATGTGCATATGAACTTTTGATTGCAGAACGACATGATTTATTTATCAGAAAAAATTCACAAGAAAAATTTGTTCCAAATATGATTTATGAATGAGAGCTGGTGATGAATTCAGGGAAATTGTTTTAGGCAACTACAAATCACAAAAAAATCAACAAATAGATGAAAAGAGAAATGAAAATTTGTATGTTTTTTACCACTTTTATTTGTAACTAACGTAACTGGGGTTTCGTCATTAATGGACATTTTCAAACTTAAACAATAAACCCTTAAAAAATTTACAAAAAAGTAGCATAAGAAACAAATGAAAGAGTTTCAAATACATTCCAACTGAACAGTGGCGTACAACAATTTGTTGCTATTAACAATATTGAAACGATGTGCGACTTGCTCCCTATTCCCGGGGTTGAACGACGCTGTAAATGGGAAAAAAACTGTCCCCCTCCCAATAAAAATCGACCTGTCTGAGCCTTTTTTTGGATTTGCAAGATTAGTACCCAAAACCTCCATGTCAAGTTTTCGATGGCCCATCCTGTATGTGAGTTTCCGCACCTAATTTTGAAAATATTTTTATTAGGCGTAACTTCATCATTGATCTACTCAGTTGTTGAAGAACTAATTCATTTATACTGTGATAGTTCTTTCAATTAATGGAATTATTTCAATTATGTCACTGGTTTACTACGCTCACTACCTCTGTCGTCTTCAACACTGAAATTGATGTCGGTCGGCAAATTCGCCTATACAAAAAACACGTGAAAGTTTCCAGGACATTTTTCATTCCATTCTTTCTAGAATAGTCCACCAGGGTCAGATTCGTGACACCATTATCAAATCAGAGATATCTCGAAAATGTTCCGTTTAATAAAAACAAATGGCTAAAACTGGTCAAAATTCACTGTTCTATCAGACACTTGTACCCACCTAAAATACTATTGTTGGCTTTCAGGGAGCTCTGTTAGGAGCTGGAGCCTCTGTTATTGGTTTGGGTTCGGACTTTGCTGGATCTGTCAGGATTCCTGCAGCTTACAATTGTGTTTATGGACACAAGCCTACTCCAAGTAAGTTATAAAATAGGTATCAGAATCGAAGTAAAAAAATTGTACATGCATTGGTTTGGTAGTAAAATCATCGCAAAAAATAATGATTTTTGTAGGAATTGCTTCTATAAAAGGTCATATGCCCTATGTTGAATATGGAAAGTTTAAAGATATAATGGTTCTGGGACCGATGACCAGATATGTGGAAGATCTTAAATTGATGATGAACGTTATAGTTGATCCTGGTCAGACAAAAAATCTCAGACTGAATGAAAAGGTACTGTATTGCTACCATTAAGGGTGTGGATGTGTACGATTCGTTCATTGTAGAATAAGATATTTTTTTGAATGATTATCCCAAAAACTGTTGCGGTTGGGAATACAATGACGTACATCATAATTCAAAGAGAAAAAGGAACCATCGGGAATTTGAAAAAGAAGAAAAGAATTTCAAAAACTACACCTCACGAATTGATCTCCACAAACTTTATTTGTAGAAATCAAATCGTGAGGTGTAGTTTTTTAAATTACTATGGATCTTCATCAAGTAACGGCAGAATTAATCAGAAAAAAAAGAGAAGAAAATAGGTGTCAAAACATTTTTTAATAGTCATGCATCTCAATTTTTCTCAATATTTCGAGAACGTGAATTGTTTATGTTAATACCATTACGAATAACATATTTCACAAAACTAGTTTTCAACTTAGGGATATCAATGATGTGTTCTGTCATTCGTTAACATCATCCACTTCCCTGAAATAATTTGAAAATATTTCATTTTGTTTCTAATAAATTCTATATTCAATAATTTGCTAGGTTTGCTTCAATTTTTTTGTTGGTTCCCATAGTCAAATTTTTAATCACAATTTTTCAATCAATTTCTCAGTGAAAATATTGACTGAACCCCAAATAGGTACTAGATATTGTATAATCGAGTTCATGGAGTAATTTATTTAAAAATCCATGAAGAATATAGGAACTCATTTACAATAGTATACCAATCATTTCATAGTTACTAAAATTGAAAGTATTTTTATCAAGATTCAAGTTTTCTCTCGATATAAACGTGTGAAAGGAGTTTCTGTAATTCATAATTAATTTATAATTTTGTATTCGACTTCATTGATAAAATTTTAAATGTTTGTAAAATCATTAAAAATATTTAAGTTTCAGGTCGGCTCTGAATGATTGAAATTCGCCATCAATTTTCAATTGTACCATTGGATAACTCAAACTTCAACTAGTATTCAAATGTCTATCGCCTTACTAGATCGCTACACGTACCGCACTGTCACTTCCACTTGACTATCTCGATAGACGAGTGGATGGCGCTTATATTTGACAATCGAAGGCACTGGAAATTATTCGGAATTCAATCGAAGGCGCTGGAAAATTCTTCGGAATTCTATCGAAGCGGCGCGAACATCAAACAGCCGCGAAACATCGAGATCATTATTCTCGAAGCAACGCCACGTCTGGAACGGCCGCTAGCGCACGTCAAGTTAGGCGTGATCCTGGTTACGTCACAATTGAATGATGGCTGCCAGTGGCGGCCGGCGTTACTTTCTTTAGGGCATGATTTAAAACAATATAGATCAGAAATTTGTTTCATGGCCAACAGTAGCAATTACTTCGTTCATATCCAGAGACGAAAGGCTATTTTTCTCTTCATTATCGAATTCAGTTTGAATTTTAGTTATCATATGAATCATCGTAGCTTTCCTGTCGCTGTATCTGCTGAATTCGAAGTGGCTAGATTATATTAGGTTGTTTGTTGATTCAAAAGTTTTATAATATCACAGTAAATACTTATTCAATTCAATCAAATCAAAGTCGATTAATTTTGTCAACTTACAAATTGGATGTTCGGGATTCAATGGAGTCGACGAAAGCCGATTTTGCCTGGTCCTGATTGACGATGGATCCACCGATGAGAAAGTCATTTAAATGATTGAAAAGATGGTACCTTTCAAAATCTCCTCTTCCATTTAAAAGCACCTTCCCTCTCGCCAAAATGTAACGTCACACGAATATAAAAGTACTAAAAATTATATCTTCTTAGATAGGTAAACCATATTCGCCTTGATATTTCTTCTAGTTCTCAAGTGAAATATGGAGAAGGACTCATTACTGCATTTCATAAAGTTGTAAACAATTTGTAAAGTATTTGACATTTTCAGGTTGACATCAGTAAGTTGAACGTGTTCTTTATGGAGGATTCGGGAGATTTTCTTATACCGAGTGTAGATCCCGAAATAAAGAAAGCAGTGAAAGCTGCTGCTCAGTATTTGGAAAGACAGTGTGGTTCAACAATTATGAGAAATGAGAAACTGCCAGTCAAAGACGCAATGACTGTTTTTGCTGTATATTTGACTACTACGGAAGGTATTCCTGATCCTTTGAGAAAAGTAAGTATGTTCGTTTTCATGGGAAATATCGCTGTCCGACTTCTTGTTTTCTGTACTGTTTGAATTGTCCTTTTTAGAATGTTTATGGCATTCTCTGGGTTGTCCATTCGCATGAAACATGCATAACAGCTAAAGTATCTGATCTATATTAATCAGGTGTCCTCTAAAAGAACAAAGTCCTGGTGTTGTTCTGAAATAATCTCTGTTAAAACGGCTCTTCAGTTCTTTTTTCAGGCGGTCCCTTTAAAACGGTTTCCAGTACTTTTTGTTTCTTATGTTTCTAACAGAGAAAATGCATAATGCTCTAGATGGAGAAAAATCATGCCTATGCATTTCCATTGATCTTCTTCGAACTTTAGAGCACGCTGGAATGGGAGGGCACTGCTTAAAACTATTCTAAAGTTATACGCGACACCAAGCGATCAAAAAAATTGAATATAGTGTACCGCAGGGTACTGTTTTAGGCCCTATTTCGTCTATAAATAAATAAAGTCGATTTATTGTTATTATTATTATATTATAGGAAACTAATGAAATATATAGATTCGTCTTCCAGAAGTCATTTATTTATTATTACTTCAATTAACTTCAATTACTAACTGCATTCCCAATTTGAATTAAATTATTACAGGGCGATATCCTAGTACTGGAGATGTTCAAAGCTTTGTTTGGTTGGTCAAAGTATTCTCTACGTATGTTATACCTGCTGTTACAAACGAATTTGATTAATATTTTCATTGACGACCATTCAAAAGAAGTCGCTTCCCGGACTAAAACGTTTGAAGTAAGTATTTATTTCTATATCACTTTAAAATTTTCAGATACCCGTTCTATTTTGGAAAAAAATGTTTGTGCTGATGAAAATTCAGTGGTTTGAAATTGAAATGGTGATTTTTTTGTCGTCAAGATGCTACACATGTACAAGACCTGAATTAATATTATTAATGAACAATGTTTCAAATAATCATTCCCCTATCCATTCTCTAAACAATTTCTTTGTTTCAATATAATTCATCCATCAATTTGTTGGACACATCAAAAACAGTTGTTCACAAAATTTGTTCTATTTCAAATGACAGTTGACGATTGTTGATATTTTAAATTCGGCACTGGCGTCAAGCGGATTCTTGCAGAAGCTGAATTATTAGATCTGGCAACATGTTTGTCTATTGAAAGTACGACAAAACCTTGTTCAACCGTATCACCGAATTTAAATTATCAACAATTGATTAAATTCACGTAAGCCAAGGCAGGAGTCAACGATAAAGGTTTTTCTACCTTTCATTCCAGAAGTTACCGAAAGAATTGGTCGCCTCCTTGAAAAATACAACATCAAAAGAATATATAAGCCCACCGAGAAAATACAGCATTGTCTAAGGGCAGCAAAGGAGCGATGAGAACCAAAATCACAGAACTATAACTCTAAGTTATAGTTCTGTGCCCCAAATCGAATCTAGGAGTTTACCGTGTTCCATGTTTCTGTAAAAAAAAAAGTTGGCACAACCAAGCGTTCGATCAGCGTAAGAACTGTCAAGCGCAAAAGATACTTCACACTGATTCCTCCTTTCCGGCTACTCAAATATGGCCTGCGTCATGAACGCACCAATGCACATCCAACCTTGGAAGCGATAACACAAGCCTGTGAATATACTAGCTATTCAAGCCGGCGTAACGTCAAAAAAAATTCCAACGGACGACGTCCTAAAACATGAAACCACGGCTCCACAGATTTTCTTTATTTTAAATGTGAAGTCGAATTGTTCGATCTGTTTTTGCCACCTACTATAACATTTAATTACTCAGAAGTAATTTCTTCTCATATAAATTCATAACTCTTTTTTTGGAACTTTCGTATCTCTTTTTGAAAATTTCTAGAGATTTTTGTTGCATTATCACTTGGATCATTTTTTAGCTTTTTGTACTGAATTTCTCGAGGAGAGCTGGTGTCTGACAGACCCTATTTGTACAGGGGTCTCCACAACAAAACCTAATTGATGTACTTATTCTTTTTTTCACTACAGAATAAACTGGGCGACAATGGTGTGTTCCTGTTCCCTACTATGGGTGCATCTGCGAGCAAACACGATGAATATATAACGACTTTTCCGTATCTTTCTTACCCAATGGTAGCAAATACATTAAAACTACCTGCTACCAGTATACCTTGCGGATTGAATAAAGATGGGTTGCCAATTGGAATACAGGTGAGTTTCTGCAATCTGTTTGGATACTGACATAGAAATGTACCCTAGTCTTAGGTATAGGTGTGTAAAATGCTAACAAGATAAAAAGTTATCAAAATTCTTACTTTTGTAAGCGCTGTCACTCTGCCAATAGAGGCAACCTTAACCATTGCGAGGCAACCCTTAAAAGTGGCGAGGAAATTTTTTAACCTCAAAACTTCTGTCATATGTTTCGTGACAACATAACCTAACCCAACCTAAATGAATAATTCATACCTACCTTAGCCATCAAGCTCACAACAATGTCAGATATCACCGAAAACGAAAAAACTGATAAGTGTGCGAAACACGGCTCCTCAATTCCATATATAGGTCCTGAACCAGCTGTTGGGGTACCAAAATCTTTGAAACAGAATCAGATTGGGAAGTGGGTCTGTAAGAAATATATAAAGAGTACTGGCAAAATATACACGGAGACACACACAGGAAAACCTTCATAAAGGGGCTATCCGAAAAGAGAACTGCTTCAACGAAGTAGGAATCTGCTCAGAACAATTATAGGGTTACTCACTTGGCACTAACCAAAATAAAGCTGTACAGCGGAGACCATAGCTACAGACAATACAACAAAGAGACAGAGACAAACAATTTATGGACAACCCAAATCCAGAAGAATTTGACAAGGGACCCGTACAAACTAGTACAGGGAGGACGATTGTTGAAATTGGTGAAAAAGATGAGGGGAAACGTAATGAACCCGTAAAGCTACAGTGCTTTCTCAACGTTTCCAGATCTTGTTGAGCCGCCCAGGAAAAGCCGGGCGGTTCAACAATCGGGAGGTTCAACAGAAACAACAGCGGTAGATGTAGCAAATTTACTTACTAAATAAATTGTATCCACCACCACACTATATCTGCACTATACAGTCCGCGATGGTAATATCTACCAATTATACTTTCCAACGAATTCTGAGCTAGGTCAACATCAACAAAGCTTCGTATCTTGATGATACCAAGTATCAAATACAAACTTTCACCATCGTTTGCTAGAGTCTTCAGTCTACCATAAGATAACCTAATCCAATTACAAATGATACTCTTCCTTCTTGTTGGAAGACCAGTCAAATTCAACCTTTACCCAAAAAAAGCATAGTTTTATTTTCAAATAACTATAGAAGACTTGATTTACTGTGAGTGATTTCGAAAATCATTAAGAAAGATTTCAATCAACACTTTATGCAATATTCGGAATACTCAAACATCTTAAGCGACCATCAACATGACTTCATTAAACACACTGCTTTCTTTCAATTGTCACCCAACAACAATGTAAACGAGAAACATAAAGTTACGGGCTGTTGCATTTGATAATTCCATGGCCTTTCACCATGTTTGCCACAAGGGGTTCACTAATTGAACTCGGTGGTATGTAAGATCGTATCTATTCGTGGCTCTCTAACCTTCTCAAGAATCCTTACTTACAAGTAGCCACGGATAGATGTACACATACAACAGAAAGTTTCATATCGTAATGAGGATCTTGAGAAAATGTCCGCTTTGGGTTTACAGTAAATAAACCTGTTATGGGAGCAAGGGTGGAGTTGATGGTGGGGATGGAGGAGAGAGGAGTGTGGCATGTAAAGTTGTGAAATGTGTGGCGATATAGTAAAGATTTCCACGTAAGCGGTAATTTTTTTTTCTCCGCATACGTGGAGATCATTACTTAAACATAATAAAATAACAACGACCAAAATGTTTGAAAAGTACAAAATACATAAATATGAAAAATACTTTTTTTCTCAATACAAAAACTCAATTATAATGAGAAAAAAACACTTGTTCTTATTATTTTGGACCACAGTCTGAAAACTGTTTTTCCACATTTCGAAATGAGTAAAATAATCTAACCTTTATACAATTTAGCATAAAAAATTTCATAAATATAAAATTTCAACAATATTGTTACACACTTGTTATTGAAAACATATTTTAGTTTTTATACTTCTTGTTACATTCCATTCACTTCCTGGGAATACATTTATAAAAAATCAATATTTTCTTTTAGGTTATGGCAGGCCCAAACCAAGATCGCTTGTGTCTTGCTGTTGCTGAAGAACTTGATAAATACTTTGGCGGTTGGATTCCTCCTTATTGAAACATAAAGTTTTCATTTCATCGATTTTTTTCAATACTTTGAGCTAGTTCTACTTTGAGCTACATTTTGTTTCTATATTTCTCAAATGAGTAGAAAAGGTATTTTATTTGTTTGTGGTAGGTTTACTAGGTTTCTATTTGTCTTTCTGAATAATTGTCTGATAAACCAATTAAAACCCATATGTAGTTCATTGTTTCAATTGTTGATGACCGCAGTATTAAAATTTTTATTCTGTTGTTTTTCTTAAAACAACATAAAAGCGACTGAGGCAAATCCAAATTCAAACATGTCATCTGCCCATAGTTTTCACCACAACCAAATCATCGGTTAGTATTTTGACGTTTGGTTCACCAGGTTTCAAGAAACCGTGTTTCATTATCAACCGGAATATCAGTAAAAATACAATAGTGTCTTTTAGAATTACCAAATCACATTTCTGCTCACTTTTGGAACGCATCTTTAATGAATGTAACCATAGAATACAAAGCCCATAGAAGCTCAGAAGTGGCATTTTCGTGTCAGCTAAAATTTTTACTACTTACCCTTACCACCAGAGGGTGATGGCAGTACGATGTCAGTATTTAATATGATCACATTGAATATTGATAATAGTGTAGATGGTAGGCATTTTTGTGGTTAATCTCGTTGAAGACACCTTCATAGTATAGAAACATGGGAATACAGAAGTAGACACTTTTCTGAAGCACACCAACATTGTAAAACCTTCCATCACCTTCACAATGGAGAATGAACTTCACAATGAATTACCATTCTCAGACGTATTGGTGAAGAAGACAGACACTAAGTTGGAAACATCTGTATACCATGTTAAAGCTAAATTTGCGCGCCGCGTCGGTCGTGAAATTTTTATGAGATGACGTTTCTCAAGCTGTAGGTGGGGTGACTATTAAATAGGATGCCTTTAAATAGTACGTGATGAGTCGCTCAATTTGCAGCCCCCTTGGACGTGCCGCCCGTTTACGGTGGGCCTCAAACGACCACCAGTTTTCAGGAAACCGTGTTCCATGCCAGTTTTTCAGTAGTTGCCAACTGGATGAACTATAAAGTCGCTACACATGAAACAAAATACCGCTACACTGCTTCATATTTCGTTCATGAGTTCGCGCATGAGCCCTATCCAAAATTAAATACCACAGAACTCACAGTTTGTGAACCGTTCAAATACTACAAAAGTGAACTGTCACTAATGTCGGTATCAGGATCATGCCAATTTTCAACCGCGCAACCTAATTTTCTGAATTTACAGTAGTTAATTTTTGAAACCTGTCGTCTTGATCAAATATTTCTTAACTTGAAATAATGATTTTGAAAAGTAAAAATTAATATCAATTTGTATAGTCACACTGAGCTCTTGTACGATCATTCGCGACTGATCTAATCCATCCTTTCAAGTTAGAATCAGACAACTAATGTTGAGAAAAAGTGTGTTTTCGAGACTTTCTGTATTTTTTGAACATGTCCCGTTCCCGTCAATTTCAACTGCGGTAGCTCTTTCGCTCGAGCCACAATCAGATGAACTATCTTTCATTTCCACTGTGATATATCTTCAACGGAATGGTTACTCCAAAGTGATGGTGGAACAGCTTTTGGCTAGAAGGTAGACAAACAGCGTTTGGTATTACGTCTTAGTCTTAACGGATGTCGATAGATGGCGCGCCGCGTCGGTCGTGATATTTTTTATGAGATGACGTTTCCCAAGCTGTAAGTGGGGTGACTATTAAATAGGACGCCTTTAAATATTACATGATGAGTCGCTCAATTTGCAGCCCCCTTGGAAGTGCCGCCCGTTTACGGCGGGCCTCAAACGACCATAATGAAAAGTACTGGAAATAGTGCAACTGTACTAGCTGATACCATCGTATATCATTTTCGAATACCGCGACAGTACTGTATCATAAAATCGCGCCCCAAAATACCGTTCTTCAAATGCCCACTCATATCTAGTATTTTGACGTTTGTTTCACCAGTTTTCAGGAAACCGTGTTCCATGCCAGTTTTTCAGTAGTTGCCAACTGTATGAACTATAAAGTCGTTACACATGAACCAAAATTCCGCTACACTGCTTCATATTTCGTTACGCTTATGTATCTGACGCAATCAGTTCGCGCATGAGCCCTATCCAAAATTAAATACCACAGAACTCACAGTTTGTGAACCGTTCAAATACTACAAAACTGAACTGTCACTAATGTCGGTATCAGGATCATGACAATTTCCAACCGCGCAACCTAATTTTCTGAATTTACAGTAGTTAATTTTTGAAACCTGTCGTCTTGATCAAATATTTTTTTGAACATGTCCCGTTCCCGTCAATTTCAACTGCGGTAGCTCTTTCGCTCGAGCCACAATCAGATGAACTATCTTTCATTTCCACTGTGATTTGTTCCATATAATTCATAATACTCGAGATAGTCGAGACTTTTATTTCCAAGACATTGGAGGTTATATAATTTATGATAGTTATGAAAATATGAAAAATATTCTTTCTTCTCATTCATCATGTAATGGCTTCAGCTACTAAACACAGACCAGGGTATATTATGGTCTGTGCTACTAAGACTGTAATGTATTGACTGAATTCGATTATTCATTTGTCAGCTGTCAGCTTCGAATGCTGTCCAGGCCACTGAATCGAAAAGAAGAAGAAGAATGGTGTCCAGTGCCTCGTCTTCTTCCATATTTTTTTTTCAATATTGATTATTAGTAGAAAATTCCGCTACTTTATGTTCAAATACGCTACTCCGCTACCGTCGAGTAGATTCCGCTCTAGTAGCGGAATTCCGCCACGGTTGGCAACTCTGAGTAGAACCACAATAGTGGTGATTCAAAAAACACCAAATCACATTTCTAATCAATTCTGGAAAACATCTTTACGTGTGAAATGGTTCTTGAAAGATTACACAGGGATATTTTTCTAATCACGTGACCATACTCTGCTCCATCGTAAAAAAGGGTAGATAAATAAATGCTAGATACCAAAACTTCTTAACATAATTTTTTTAATTGTCCATTCTATACAATTTTTATATATACAAAGTAAATAACATGACTAATGTAAATTCATCAGTTGTTTATCATAAAAACACACATCACAAAAAAAATTGTATTGCAATTAAATTTTCAGTACAATTAATGTACATCCAACTTTTGTTATTGAGAAAACTCCACTACTGTCTTCATCAGCCGTTGTAACTTTGACTAAGAATCTCAAAGGAATTAAAACTAATTAATCTCAAGTGTATTTCTTCAAGAAAAAAATCAATCTACCCAACTTTATAAGAGATTACAAACGTATAACTCGTGAGCATATTTTTCAGAATAATTCCGCTATCTAATTAGGAAATTACATAAACTACGACTGGAATTTTTAAATTTTTCACTAGGTGTTGAGTTAGGCAGATCAGATAAAGTTTGTTTAGAGACGTTTACTTCAGTTAAGTTAGATTTAAACTGTGAAACAGATAACTAAATATCGAAAACATGGAAAAATTATAAAAAACGGTTCAGATACATTACTAAAAAAATCAGTAAGTATGTCAGAAGTTTTAAAAACTTTGTAATAACGAGAGCTGCCAAGGTTTCATTGAAAGATGAATAATGTAGGCAATTCTGCATATTAAGTAAAAAATTGTTGATGGAATGAATCGAAACATTCACTTTTTCCATTTGACAACAAAGTTTTTTATGAGTATTTAATTTGTGATGCTGCAGTGATGGGTGGACAAATAAAACAACATAATTTCCGATATAAAATCGCTAGTTTCCAGCAGCAACTCAATGTGTGTTTTTATGATAAGTCAATTATATTGAGAATCACAACATGAATGAAATAACAGAATACAGAAACAGACAACTTCGAAAGTTGTGGAAACGTCAAGAAATGTGCCAAATAAAACTCGATTTCAATCACGAACAGTGCGGTTCAAAAAAAACAATTTCACATATAAAATGTTTCACCTTCGCCTACTCTTGTCGCAGCCTCAAATGAAACATTTTAGATGGGTAAAAACAATTTTTTCATGAATCGGATCCGCTTTAAATACTTTTAGGTTATGTCTTCAATGTTTCACACCAAAAAAAAATTGTTCCAAAGTGCTTGAGTATCACGTTTTGCAGCTTAGTTTCAGATGAAACATTTCAGATGAAGCACAACAAATTTACTTATTTCCGAGGTAATCCAGGGGAAGAATTAGAGTGTAGTAGATGGTGTTGCTTTTCTCATCCACAGGAATGAAAAAATGAAAAACGTCCGTTAAAGGAAGAAAACTCTAAAATATCAATCAATACTCTTCGAGATCCACAGAAGTTTCTTTTAAATACAAGCAACAAGAAATGATTTATCTGGAACAACTACTCTACTTTAAGGATATTGGATTAGGAAAAACCAACTTTTTTTGAATACAGTACATTGAATATCTGTAATTAAAAAATTGATATAAATTGTTCATCAGTAATGCTACGACATAAATAAATATATAAGAATATATGTATGAATAGATGTTTGTGTAATGTAATTCAGTATCCTTGAGACGTTTTTCCAATACTATTTCTCCTATTTGCATCTAAAAAAGACATGTGTGGATGATCTACAAATTTTCTTAAGAATATGGTAATTTTTTCTTCATTTCTGTTTCCGTTTTCCATTTTCTTCACCCACCAGAAAATAAAGCAAAACGCTATTTTCTAATTATCAATCCCTTCACAAAATCCTTTTTATGAATAAAAGATAAGCAGTGTCAAACCAAGCACAATTTTCCTTTCCAGAAGGATGGCCGCTTTTCAACAATACTCCTCAAAAATTTCTGTAGAATACCTCAATTTCAAAAATGGGAAAAAAGTATTGCCGCTTTTTATTCTTCTCCTGAATCGTACATATTATTTGGAATAATTCAAATATCATTTCATGTATAATTATTATTAAATGACTTCAAAGCAAGCACAATTCAAATATCAAATCTACCAGTTAATTATTGGAATCACTCTGCGACCTCGATCTTGTTCGAGCCCCTTGATTATCTAAAGAACTTGAACTAGAACCGTTGGAGGAATTACTACTTCGAGATTGGAACAGTCTCAGAAGATTGTAGTTGCTGCTACCTGAAAAATTTAAACACTGGCTCTATTTCCAACACTATGAAATTTCATTTCATTCATCATCGGCAGGTATCGGAAAAATAGTCTAAGAATTGTGAGAATTTATGTTTTCACTGTCTTTTTTGATAATAACTGTACTACTCTGACGAGTGCTATAATAACTCAGAAATGTAATAAAACTGGGGGTGTTTTTTACCAGACATACTGCTTCAACAATAAAAATAGCAAATACTTTGCAAGCGGATAAATTGAAACGACACTCACCTCCACCTCCAGAGCCAGTGTCTTGGTTACTATCACTAGAAAGTTCGTTATTTACTAGGTTCTGCCGACAGATGGGGCAAGTTCCATGCAACTCCAGCCATGGCCTTATGCAAGGTTCATGGTAAATGTGCAAACATGGCAACTGACGAACAGACTCTCTCAATTGGAAATCTTCCCAGCATACTGAACATTGCAGTTTCACATTCACCTGTTCCTCAGTTACTTCGACTATCGGTAGGGCATCGATAACTTCCTTAGAAACAGGTGGTGGACCTAAAAAAAAAAAAGAAGTAGACATAATATTTAGATAAACTACTAATCTGATGACTTCGTTAAGGAAAGTTACTGAGAAAATTAAATCCGAAACATTAATTACACCTAATGTTCCCACACTGTAGAACTTGTAGATGATTGCTTGAAAACAGATACTTCCCAGGCTGATGATCAACTACTCATCAGTGATCAGATATCTTTAATATCAGAACTTCGGCTGAGACTGGAGCTATTCAACAACAACAAAGTAGATGATATTTTCAAAACTGACTATCGAACTTTTATACATTTTCAGTAAATTGCATATAACTAACATATTCATCCAACTAGTTTTACTAGGAATGTAGGCTTTTAAGGCTGGCGTCAATGATTTGGTGGGTTTGCGAGTTTTGCCGTGATCTACATTGGTTATAACCTCCAAACCTTTCAACTGCAACTGCAGCAGTCATCTTCAGCGACGTGGTCAAAGTACTCTTCTTGACGTGTCAACTGACAGTTGACAGCCATCGTATTCACCAGATTTGGCTCTCTGCAACTTTTTTCTGTATCCAAAATTGAAGAGACCCATGAAAGGACGGCATTTTGCGACGATTGAGGAGATGAAAATTGAATAACTGTGAGAACGCAATGATACCACCAAAAAAAAACGCATATCACAACTGTTTCCAGGATTGAAAAAAAAAACATAAAAAACTTCATTAGTTGGTACTTTATCAATTGGTAAATGAAACCAGGAGCAATACCCACCTGTGCTGTCCATCTGGTTCAATAGCTGAGTAACAATAGCGTCCAGTCCTTCTCTTCCCCAGGCATAATCGCCGGGATGTCCCAGAAATACCTGCATATTTTGAGGGGTAGCCCAGTTCATTCCTAAATTCACAACAAAATCTTGTAGTAGATGTTCAAGTGGTATTTGCTGTCTTAAATTGGAGGTAGCCAGTCTTGTGAGAGTCCTGAAATACATACCGAAAATTCAAAGCAGGCTTTTTGATCTTTCCACAGTTTGTCTCTAATCCCGAAAATCGATACGTAGAAAATAAGTACCCAATATTTACGTAGCACCAAGAGAGGAAAAATTTCTAGCATTCCCCCCAAAAAAAATAAAAAAGACTTCTCGTTTATGAAGTTTGAAGTAATTGTTTATAGAGAAAAAGCAATGAAAGTTGAAACAAAAAATAGGAAAAATTTACAAGCATCTCACAGAAAACAGCTCCATGTACCTTGGTACTTTTCCCATTTTCAATGATTTTCAGAGGAAACTATTCAAAGGTATGTCAATTTGAAACATTCACCTAGCTATATTAAAATTCGTTCAATTTCACTTTAGCTGCTCAATGCCCAAAGCTTGGAAGTGTTGAATGATTCCAAGTTTGACGAACTATTTTACTGTGTTACCTATTTCATTGCTAAAGAGGAATTGTATGAATCGTAAGTCTTTTTAAAGCTCAGTATACGTATTGTGTAAATAATATGCCTATACTTTGGAATATCTACCATACATTAAAGTAATTACAAATATCCGGACAGATGTAACCAAACAACATATATCCCATTGGTTTACATGCAATTCTTTATAATGAATTTTTCAGACCTGGGTCTAACTATCCTGGCGCGATTAGCGTACCTTCTGCCAGGACGATTCCCTTCTGATCTGGATCGAGTTCTTCGTTCCTCAATGAAATCCAGAGGCAATGCAGTCATTAGTGTATCCGCCTTAAATATAACAGATATTATCGAATCAATAAATAAAACACTCGACCTACTACTTCAGAATCTTCCCATTCAACGTCGGCCATCTCGTCATTTCCATCTGGAGTCTCTTGCAACTCTTCAACGAATCCGTCCGAGCAATGGGGACATGTGAAATTCTGAAAACAATTCACATAAGAATGACTGACATCCTGAAGAGATAATTTTTTTACAGCAGAGGCATCTTGAAACTGTACGTTGCACATGTGACAGTAAAACTTTTGTAAGGACCCATCCTCTACAGCTGCTTCTGCCATTGTGGAATATTTGACCTTAAAAGTCTTATAACTAGTAATTTAAAAATGAAATTTACAAAAACACTTCCTCAGAAACCACATTAACCACCATATTCTTATCACAAATCACAATATCGCAGACTTCAGAACGAGAAAATGTATATGATTCAGTGTTACCAATGGCGATAAAGAAGTTACTAGGATCATCAGAGGATCGGTCTTCCATAAAGTAAGTAAAAGTAATGAAGAAAAGAGAAATGAAACTTTCTATGTTTTTTGCCACTTTTATTTGTAACTAACTTTACTGCAGTTTCGTCCTATAGGGACATTTTCAAACGTATACAATAAACTAACAATGATTCATTACATTCGTCATCACATACCACCCCTGTAGGTACTAACAGAAATAGAGGTACTTGACCTACAGGGTACTAATAGAAATAAAGGTACTTGACCTACAGGGGTGGTATATAATGGCGAATGTAATGAATCATTGTTAGTTTATTGTATAAGTTTGAAAATGTCCGTATAGGACGAAACTGCAGTAATGTTAGTTACAAATAAAAGTGGTAAAAAACAGAAAGTTCCATTTCTCTTTTCTTCATTATGATTTCCTATCACGTAATAACAGCTACATACATCATTTTATTAAGTAAAAGTAATTTAAACAAAATTATGTCGAGTTTGAAGAAAATTTTACTCGGTCACGAAGTGATATTTCTATATATACACGAATTCAACAAACGAAACAAAATCAAAAGTAGTTACAAAACAAAGCTATCTGGTCAGTATTTTATAATTGATAGATATTTTTCAAAAGTGCTTGCCACGTCAAAAAAAAGTATAGGCCTTTCAATTGTTTCGTACCTGTTTTCGATTTCATTTCGTCGGATTCGTTTGGGTCAACTTCTTTTTGAAGGCGATTTTTCAATAACATTTTTAGTTTTCAGTTACTTGGTATTTCGCTTGCCCTGGCAATCCCATCAATAATATTTAAATTTTTACCGCGAATTTGTACCGTGAGACCACTTTCGTTTCGATCATTTTTGATTTTTTTTACATGCACCAGAATTTGACCACAGTTTCAAAGAGGGGCAAGCCGGGCAAATTGCCAGTGGGGTTAAAATTAAAAAGAGCAAAATTTTCAGGAATTTTCCACGGGAATTTCCCACCAACTTTGAGGTGTGTAATTACTACCAGTGGTTTGAAGGAATACCCTTTCATCATACATTCCTACGACGGAACATCTTGAGTGAAACCCCTTGAATTTTATAGGTAATAGTTATTTCTTAGATATTGTGTTTAGGCAGCATATAACCAATACAGAAAGTTGTTTAAGACCGATTTCAACATGAGAAACAATGGAATATTGGAGTATATAGTTTCAAAGTGGAAAAATCATTCATATTCTTGAGGGTTTTTCATTAGAGATTTCATTATTTTTTTTTCTCTTTGAAGAAGTGTATTTCATTATGTAGTTTGTTATTGATATCAATTATCTTATATTTGTGAAAATAAAATGACTCAAGCAATCAATTGGAAATAACATATCAATCACTAAGGATACAACTAATTTCATAGTTCAAACAACAAAATCTGTATTGTACCCCACGAATATTTTGGTGACTATCCAGTTGTGAATTTCATTTCGATTTTGATTATTATAGAACAGTATCGAAGAGACATTTATGTAGGAGGTTGATGTGATGTCACAACATAAACATTTCTTTGACCTCAAATTGTAACGTTTTGCTAATATCACAATCTGATTTTTTCCACATAATCATGATTATAAAAGGACATCTTCTTGACATCTCAAAACGATATCGCGATACACGTGACATCAACTGGAATAATTTAAAACAATAATTCAAAAAGTTGCATATTTGACAGTAAAACAAAAAATATTTCACATTAGAACAAAAAATTGATTTGATGTGTCATATATGCAAAACTGAAAGTTACTTAATATGCACCGAAATACTTTGGAATAAAAGTATTGTATAATCTTCCTAAGTTAGGTGGCCGATGCCGTTGTCACAAAAAAAAGACGTGTCATGTTCCGTTGAAACCTCAGAATAATAAAAAATATAGTTACTCTGAGGTTGAAACTGTGGAACTGGTAAAACTCTAGAAGAAGATTTAGACTTTTGACATTTAACTGTTTTTAATTGACAATTGATATTATTTGATAAGCAGTATTAGTATTTGCACGGTTTTGATAAACATTCGGTTTTTTCTTTTAGATTAAGTTCAAAAGAATAGATCGTTCCCTTTAAAGATGACTTCAAAATGTTTTAATCTAATAAGCATTATATAATTAGAGGCTTTTTTTTTATAATAATATTTAATGATAATCGATTTAAGTATAACGAAAAAATACTCTAATTATGAATGCTTTTCAGACATGCCCAAACACTTCGGATCTGGTGCCGCTATACCTTCCTCAACAGCTTTACTTGAAGCCCATAGCTCGACTGAATATGTCCTTGCAACTTCCGAATGTGAAAAAGTTAGGCAAAAGTGTTTCACACTGGGAGATTATGGATAAAATTCGTTGCCTTATTAAGCCCGATGAATTTACGGTGCTAAAAGTAACAAAAACTACTGTCGAATTCGTTAGATTCGAAGGTGAAATCGAAACTAGGGAGAAGCTTGAGCGGGTCATATCAAAAGTAGACAACAAGATGATAAAACTCAAGGATTTTTCCGACTTAATGAGAATTCGAGCAGCCGAATGGAGATCAGATTATCCCAATCGTCGTGTTTGGGACGATTTCTTCTCAAACGCTCGTGATATGGATGAGATGAAACCAGGAGAACGCCCCGACACCATACACATATCACATCTACCTTCAAAATGGTTAGTACCATATCATCTAAGCGATGAGGAAGACGTCACTCCATCTGAGAAAATTTTTTATAAAATCTTCGAAAAATTCGGCTCCATTCGGTTTGTGGACATTCCAATATGTGATCCGTATAGAAAAAAAATGAAAGAAAATATTTCGGGACTTCAAAACTCATCGTTCGATAAAACTGAGTTCTTCGAGGGCTATGTGCAATTCAAAGATTATATTGGGTTCGTTAAGGCCATGGATGCCTTTCGTAACATGAAGTTAGTGCGAAAAGAAGATGACGGAGCAGTAGAAGTGAACATCAAGGTGGACTTTGACAAAAGTAAACATTTGAGTGATGCTTCTATTCGTAGGAGAGAAATTGTTCGTGATAGATTAGTGAAAAAGAACAGGGAAAAAGAAGAAAAGGAACAAGCAGAATTAGAAGAGAAAAAACGAATGGAGGAGTTGGAAAGGTTCGAGAGTATTTGTTGAAGAATATTCTATTTGTTTCATTTCAAAGAATCATAGATTCAGCAAATCTATTTTTCCTTGAATTGTCTACAACTTTTTTGTGATATATTCAAAAAGTACTTGAATCAAACGTATAACTACTTATTCAAGGGATAATTCTACCATTCGTAGTAGGTGGTAGAATTTTCTCCACTGAATATTATTTTTTCCATATCTTATGTTTATTTATTCATTTATTTTTCTTGCACCATTTGAGTACGAAGGTTATAAAATTGATAAAAAAAAAACTATTCAGGCATTGATGAGACTTCTCTGAAATCATGCATGATCCAAACTTGTTTAAGGTTCAGGTAAATTAAATTTTGCTGATATATAGTCAGTAATAATTTATTTTTGGAGAATAATAATTCTGCTGACAAACCTATCCTATATTCATCTTTAAATTTTGGAGTATAGGAGTAATATCATTCTCATTCCACAAGATTTGCATTCGCTGAATGCAAATCTTGTGGAATGTTATGCACTTTTGCAGTGAGAAAATGAATATTTATCATTTCCATCAGACCACTCAAACAGACATGTGTTATTTTCAGCCATTTAGAATAAATTGTCAATGGTTCGTCAAAGCAAAGGTTTTCTACCAAGCTATAAAATAACAAATACTTCAGCTTGACTGCAAAATATACTATTTTGTTACACGATATAATAAATCGTGAGGTATTAGTGATAATTTTTAGGCAAAAAGAGGTCGATATAAAAGAACAGAAGAAGCTACGCCGCAAGCTTCGTGAAGAGAAAAGAAAAGCAAAAATTCTCGAAAAACTGGAAATTACTGGAAGCGATGAAATCAACGAAAAAATTGCAAAGGAGGAGAAGAAACTTTTGAAGGTTCAAAGAAAGTTGGAAGCTATTAGACTGGTGGAAGAACTATTCAGAAGGATCAAAGTAAGATAAATACATGAATTGACAGCGGTGTCATGTGGTTCCAACTTTAATACTCAGAATTTTTCAAACTCTGAAGATATATGTTGATTTGTTTCAAGTTCAATGCCAACTTCAAAGCCTACTATGTAATTGAACAGTGCATTCCAGTTAAAATGATCCACTCTGTATGATTTTGTTGATATTAAAAATATAAAAAATCATGAAACACGTCAACTTTAGTTTTCGGGCGGACGCATTACTACATAAAGATCAATCCCTTGTCAGCTACCTTATCTTGATCAATCCCTTGTCAGCCACCTCCTCCTGTTCAATCTCTTGTCAGCCACCTCCTCCTGTTCAATCTCTTGTCAACCACCTCCTCTTGATCAATCCCTTGTAAGCCATCTCTTCTTGATCAATCCCTTGTAAGCCATCTCTTCTTGATCAATCCCTTGTCAGCCACCTCCTCTTGGTCAATCCCTTGTCAACCACCTCCTCTTGATCAGTCCCTTGTCAGCCACCTCCTCTTGATCAATCTTTTGTCAACCACCTCCTCTTGATCAATCACTTGTCAGCCACCTCCTCTTGATAAATCCCTTGTCAGCCACCTCCTCTTATCAATCTATTGTCAGCCACCTCCTCTTGATCAATCTCTTGTCAGTCACCTCTTCTTGATCAATCCTTTGTAAGCCACCTTTTCTTAATCAATTCCTTGTCAGCCACCTCCTCTTGGTCAATCCCTTGTCAACCAACTCCTCTTATCAATCCCTAGTCAGCCACCTCCTCTTGATCAACTCCTTGTCAGCCACCTCATCTTGATTAATCTTTTGTCAACCACCTCCTCTTGATCAATCTCTTGTCAGCCACCTCCTCTTGATAAATCCCTTGTCAGTCACCTCATCTTGATCAATCCATTGTCAACCACCTCCTCTTGGTCAATCCCTTGTCAGCCACCTCCTCTTTTCAATCTCTTGTCAGCCACCTCCTCTTATCAATCTCTTGTCAGCCACCTCATCTTGATCAATCCATTGTCAACCACCTCCTCTTGGTCAATCCCTTGTCAGCCACCTCCTCTTGGTCAATCTCTTGTCAGCCGCCTCCTCTTGATCAACTCCTTGTCAGCCTGACATTGCTGACGTTTTAAATGATGTCTCACTGGACTATTATTCCTATTTGAAATTTTTGACATGTGAGTTATGACAAGGGTTTGAATTTTACATAGGGATGTATCCTCCTGAAAACTAAATCGACTTGTTTCACGATTCTCCACAGTCTCAACATCAACTGACACTATTTATATTATTTTACAAATAGCTGTCCTGTTTGTCTTAGGAGAAAAAATCGGACAATATGCAACTGTATGATAATATTTCAAACCCTAGCTATGATGAGCTGAAGAGATATAAAAACGCTAGTGAGCTAGAAGTTCTCACTCAGAGAGAAAAACTCCACAATATTTTGAAAGGAAGGGTCATGCTTAAAAGCATTCTTTCTGATGGCAAACGACCAAGAAAATACTCCTCGTCCAGCTCTAACTCAGATTTTTCTATTGAAGATGAAGACATAAGTAAGTTGGAGGCACAATATCCTTTGCTCTATTTTCCAAAGAAAGTTTTTCCATATATGGAAAAAAAGGCTATAGATTAGGTTGTTTCAATAGTTTTGTACGTTTTTATTGTCATGTGTTTTTGTAGTAGTGGTATATCTGTTTTTAAAATCTGTTTTTCCGTTAATCAGCTGTTGTCCCCATACGAACGACAACTCTCAGAAGTTGAGAAACTTGTTTAACGAGCTCTCTTACCTTTTAACGTGTGATTCCTAACACGGTTGCAGACCGTAATCCCACGATACGGATGGCGGAAGAATCGGGCGTCAGCTTCCATGCTGTTTTTGATGGTTTGAAACATATTGGAAAGGTTTTATCAATCCCATGTACCTTCTACCACTTTTGATTACACTTTAAATGGTCATGTCTTGGAGTCTGTTAATCAAATGAAAAACCTTGGGGTTGTCCTTGATTCCATCTTGAGCTTCAATCTGCATATACCCACGGCTATACATAATGCCATGAAAATGCTAGGGTTTATCAAACCCCTAAACCACGAGTTCACAGACCCAACTGCTTTTAAAGCCCTTTATTGTTCACACCTGGAGTATTCTTCTTCTGTCAGGACCCCTCATTGTGTAACTTATATTAAGAACATCGAAAATGTCCAACACAACTTCCTCAGATACATACCATATAAATCGGGTGTTCTTTGCGAGTATGAGTTGCTACTGCAATCTCTGAGCATGTCCTCCCTGGAAACTAGGAGGAAACTAGACCTGACACTACTTTTCAATAATATTAACGGCAAATTCAGTTGTGCTGAACTCGTAGAAAAAATTCATCTACATGTTCAAAACCTCTCAACTCGACAGCAACACACATTTTATGTACCATTTTATCCTTTGAAGCACACATTCAATAGCTGCATTCCCAAGAATCTTACGATTAGCCAATAGAAACGATCTTGAGATTCAAATTCAAATTTATTAACAAATGTACAATATCAAATGAATGTCTATAAATATTAAAAAATTGTTATTACATGTATAATATTTTAACACAGTCTGCTAAGTGTAAACACTTGTGTTTGACTGGGTTAGTTGAAAAATAAAGATAATGTTAACTGTTAATAGATATTGTTCATGAAACAATATATAGAAAAGGAAAAATGTATCAATAATAGTATTTTATTATGAATGAGGGTGAACTGAACTATTCAATGTGAGCACATTTTCAATTTTATCACTATTATCTAATATCCAATTGTGTAATGTTTTTTAAAATGCTTTTGTTCTGAACTTTTTAATTTCTCATGGAATTATATTGTAAATTTTACAACCAATACATATGCAGTGTTGTTGCATTAAATGTAGACTACACCAAGCAATTTAAAAGCATTTATTGGTCTTTGATCTTTTATCATACTGATGTTCTTATGTCAGTATTTGCAAAATGCTTTTTTTTATATAGATGGTACTGATTTTGTAAAATATTTGTCTGATATTTAAAATGGAATATTTTCTGAATATAACTTTCGATGGAAATCTGAATCTAAATAAATGGTGGTTAGCGGTTGGTGTGTTTCACTATACCTTTCTGCAACTGGGTCTCACCATTACAGCAGAGTCCTATTGGGAGGAAATCGATGAGATATACCAAAGCAGCAGCAGCCAACTGACCACCATCTTTTCATGCACTTCAATAACTTTCTCATCGTAGAACCTTCGCCAATCAGGGCCAGGCAAAAACGGCCTTCGTCGACTTCATCCAATCCCGAGTTTCATTCTTTTGTGTTACGTAGGAAAGAAGACGGACAAAACTTCTGAAACAACCTAATATTCACTTTACTATGGGTTAGGTTTTTAACTTCAAAGTTTCAATACTCAACAATTTTCTCATGAATATATTCATAATTTCTTAGTATAGAATATAAAACCAATCATGTAAAAATAAATCAATGTTTTGTATGATAAAAGTACTTATTGTATGGCTCGAACCGCAAGGCATAACAGTCGATTTTCACTCCCTATCGTCCAACCCGTGTTAGGAATCACACGTTAAAAGGTCGGTAGTCTTCCGCTTGCACAAGTTTCGACTTCTGAAGGTTGTCGTTCGTAGATTTTAACAGATTTGATTGAAAACAAATCATGATTTTCCTATATTGAGTAACTATCTGTCATATTTTAATTATTTCACATTTGTACCACATTTCAGGTTTCATTATTCAGTTGAAAAGTATAAGAAATTTTTATTGGGAAATTCAAATATCATTCATCTTACTCTTTTCTGTATATGGAAAAAGTTTACTACTTCATCATATTCACCAAGTTTTTATTTTATTTGCTTTGAACATTTTTGCATTTTCAGGGCAAAGACCCAAAACTCCTGTGATGGAAAAATATCCAGAATTATTTTATGATCCTTCCTGGATGGAGTTTCAATATCCTCTGCCACCGGGTCCTATGTATGCAATGAACCCCTTTGCATCAATGAGAGGTTTGCAACCAAGAGGAAGACCATTTCCGAGGTTTCCCGGAATACCTGGTCCATCTAGAGGTAAGAGGTTCAGTAGTGCATATATCAACGACTGGATTGTTTTTCCATTAATAAAATATAGGGTCTTTCATTAAGCTTTTATTTATACCATTAAATAAGTGTCAGTACAATAGAAAGTTCCTATATTTTTTGTATGTATAAAGATACAGAAGCAGAGAGCCAAAAAGATTTTTAAAAATATTTCCTTTTCAATTCGTTAATTCGTAAATTGCTCTAGTCAAGTCATAACACAAATCATTTACATTATTTCAGGTGGATTTAATAGAAGACGGGGTAACTTTCAGCCACGTTTCAGAGGAGGATATCGTGCACCTAACCCCCGTCAGTACCCGCAAGATACAGACGAAGAGTATCAAAAGTACCTCACTAAATTTCTTTACGAGCATGATGAGAGAATATACGTAGATAGGAGACGCTCATATTCACCTCACCGGTTCTCAAGAAGAAGTCGTTCGCGATCAGATAGTAGAAGACGTTCTTATAGTCCATCTCGGAGTAGATCCCATTCAAGGAATAGATCACGGAGTGGTAGATCCAGATCTCGTTCCTACAGATCAAGATCACGTTCACGCAGGTCTAAATCTAGGTCTTATTCAAGAGCAAGGTCAAGAAAATCTCGTTCACGAGAAAGGTCACGGTCTCAATCCAAATCAAATAGAAACCGTCGGAAAAATTCACATAGGAGTAGGTCAAAATCTCGAAGTGAAAGGAAGTCTAGAAGGACCAATTCTTCATCTAAAGAGAAGTCTCCAAAATCTCGCTCACAAACCGGTTCAGTATCTTCCAGAAGTCAGAAGAAATCACAGAATAACTCTAAAGACAAAGACAGATCTCGATCGAGGGATAAGTCACGTTCTAGAGAAAAATCTGTCGATAGCTCTACTTTTTTGACTCCAAAGCAACTTTCGGAACAAAGATCTGCTGCGAGAGATCGTTCAAAGTCGTGGTCTTTACCTAAGGAAGGAGAGAAAGGTCGCTCCTGGTCAAAATCGCCCGAGAGGAAATGATTGCTTTTTAAATAAATGATAACTTATAACATATCTGTACTTTTTTCTCATTTGTTCGTCATTGCCTTCTCGGTAACTATTTAGGTACAAGGTATCCAACGTGCTGCTACATACCAAAACTGCAACACTCTTCACGATGTGTATACGCCAACTTGATTGGAGACGGGCGTCGAGAAGGGTGTTGCAGTTCTTGTATGTGGTAACAAAATTTCTGTTGGATTAATTGTACGATAGAGTTTCTAGTTCTAGCTTTCACTATGTTATCTTGCCAAAAGAGGGAGCCTCTACGGAAAATTGTATTGAAACTGTATTGTTTGGTACAAAATCACGAGAAAAATTTTAATAGAAACCAAAACATATTTCAGCTGTTATTTCTCATGAAATTCAAAAATTAGTTTATCTTTTAGAAAGCTGATGATTCAAATCAATATAAAGCAAGGGAGGATGTATGTGTGGGGAAAATCAATCCCCAAAATCAACATTCAATTCTGAAATGAAAGGTAGAACAGGATTCTTTCCAAAACCAGCAACATTCCAAAATACCAAAACTGCAAAACTCTTCTCAACGCGCGTTTGGCGTCTTCGGGAGATTAAGTACACAGTAAAACTGGTTCATATTTGTATCAATGATTTCGAGTAGATCTATATTTAGATAATATCGGCTATACCAGATGTATCCAAGGGTACATTACCTCCTGTGAGTGCAGATTATGAAAGTAGTGGCTGGGTACATGTTTTCGGGCGTACGTACCAAGAATAACAACAAACTAACCTCAACCGGGTCCTTTGATCATAGATATGATGATATGGACTGGGCATGACGTCACTTTACATAATTTCATTTACGGACCACACAACGTCTTGGCCGCTGCGTCACAGCACCAGTGACAAATCAAACCCCGAAATTTTCTCATAAATATGCAACACGTAAAACATCATGACATTGTATCTGACCTTCAGTGTATGAGTGACGTTAATGCCAGGACGTGAATCTCTTTATTTTATTTTAGTTGCTGGAGTCAATATCCTCTCTTCAATGGCCAGTCCATATTTATAATTCGTCACATCGTCACTGACTTCGATACAAAACAGGGTTCGTTACAAAATGCAGAGGTTTCATTTGAAGTTGTAAGAATTCTAATCACACATGGAAATCAGGTTCTGGCTAATTTTTTGATAAATCTGCCGAACATTTGTGATCAAAATAACGTTCTGCATTAAAAAAGGAACTGGCGCTTTGAGGCGAAGTTTACCAATAATGGAAAACGAAATAGGAGCACCTGCAAAATGTTGTGAAAGTGGAAATATTAGTCAAAAAGTTAGAGTATTGGCAATTCATGGATACAGACAAAATGCAGAAACTTTTAAGTCAAAAACGGGATCGTTTCGTAAAATGCTACATAAATGGACCCAATTTACTTACATTACTGCCCCACACAAAGTAATTTTGGTGGATGACCCCAATGACTTAGGAAAAAGTGAAGGTCCAGATATTGGTCAAAGTAAAGATGAAGGTGCATATATGAAATTATAATTAACCACCTCTCATTTTGTTTCTTTTCCTCGAGGGAGATGAACTGAAACTCATTGATAAACAGTGTCTGGATGTGCAGCCATTTATGAAATGATGTGTTTAGACATGACTTGTTAAAAAATCACGATTTTTAGCATCCAAATGGTCTTGACTGCAAAGGTGTAACCAAAAGTAACCATTTTTATTCAAGTGCCCATCCATCGACATAATGAATGTTAATCTCTCCTCTTCATTCTAAATCTCAAGTAATATGCCTGAATCTTTGTTACACTTTTCTTTATTTTAGAACAATATGGCTGGTTCTTCAATAGAGACGATAAGACTTTTAGAGGTATTAGAAAAGGTGGACCGGCCATAGGTTTTGAGGAAAGTTTAAAGGTTATTGAAGATGTCTTCGAAAGGGAAGGACCATTTGATGGCATTCTGGGATTTTCTCAAGGAGCATGTTTTGTGGGACTTCTTTGTGATCTCCAACAGAGAGGATGTAAGTGTTGACAAGCTAACGTCAGATGTTATTACTATATTCAGTGCGTAACAAATTATAATGGTATTATTATTTTAGTGACAAAATTCAACTTCAGTTTTGCAGTCCTGGCTTCAGGTTTTAAATCTGGAAGCCTTCCTCACCTGAAATACTACAGTGATAGAATTAATCTTCCCACTCTTCACATTTTTGGGGAAAATGATCAAATAATTCCTACAGGTATGAAAACAAAAAAGTCAAAACTGAAATATATATTTTCACACAGTCCTAATAAACAGATCAAAAGATTTTTCATTAATCTCAGTTTTCCATTTCTTCATAGAACTTTTCAAAAATTTGTGACATTCCATTGCAATTTTGGTTCTTCCTTATGTTGAAAAAGTAATGAGAATTGTATTTTTTTTAGAAATGAGTGAGGCATTGAGTAATTGCTTTGAAGAGCCTATCATTGTCAAACATCCTGGAGGTCATTATCTTCCTGCATCGGCAGCCCAAAAACATGAGTACCAGAAGTTTTTCAAAATACAATTGTGGCATAAAGAATACAGGGAGCAACAGGCAGAGAAAGCCAATAATTGAGTAAAACGTTTCTAAATAATTTCATTCCTAACTAAAATATGAATTTCTCACATGTAATATTTGTACATAATTTTATTTATTCATTAAATGAATATTTATGTTTGTTTTTGTTATTTTTGAAATGAATTTTAAGTAGTATCAATCGGGTTTTAGATTGCAACACTCATGTGAAACTGCTCTTCAACTCACCCTGTCTAAATGGAAACTGTCAATTGATGACAATAAATATGTAGTAACAGTATTTTTGGATTTCAAAAGAGTGTTCGAATTATAGATATATCTATTTTGATATCAAAATTGGAGTACTATGGAATAACTGGTAGGGTGTTGCTATGGTTCAGAAGTTATTTACTCAACAGATCTCAATGTACTAAAATGAACAACGTCGTATCAAGCCAAAAAGCAATTGATACCGGGGTCCCCCAAGGGAGTGTGCTTGGCCCTGTTTTATTCATACTTTATTTGAATGACATAAATTTTATTAGTGACTGTGAATTCATCAACCTCTTTGCAGATGATACTCACATTTCAGCAAGCGACTCTAATATTCATAATGCTGTACGCAAAATTAATTTTACTCTTGAAAACGTGGCGAAGTTCTTGAACATAAACAAACTCAAACTGAATACCACTAAAACGCAAGCTATGATATTGACAACACAATATAAATATAACTCAATTGGTATCAACTCCATTAATATTGAGATCTACGGCGAAACTATAGAAATTGTGAAAGAATTCAAATACCTAGGCTTCATCGTTGATAACACTTTGAACTTAAAAAAACACTTCCAGTATATGTGTAATAAAATTTCTAAAAAATTGTTTTTCTTTACTAGAATTAGTAGACAATTAACATTCCAATCTAATTTGATTGTTTATAAAACAATAATCCTACCACACTTTGATTACTGTGCTACTTTGATATCATTACTAGACGGTTATTCTATTTCTACTCTACAAAAATTACAAAACAGAGGAATGCACTAGTTATTAAAATGCTATAAATATACTCCTATATTATCAATGATTAATATTCTGAATTGGATGACAGTAAAAGATAGATTACAATATTTTTCTATGATATTCATATTCAAAATACTCACTGGAAAAGCACCACATTACTTCAATGGGTTTATTACATATAACCATCAGATACACAAATACGATACAAGAGGAAGAGATGAGTTGGTTGTCCCACGAACTAACCTTGCAAGAACAATGAGTTCTATTTTTCACAGAGGAGTCTTGGACTATAACGAGCTTCCTAATGAAATTAAACAAAGTAACACTTTTTAAACGCTCCTTATCTCAATATCTACGGACACAATACTATTCCAATTGAGTTGTTCATCATTCCTCTTTCTATTAATCTCTTCATCATCTACTACTGCAATGTTTTACCCCAAATATTCCATTATATAGGCACAGCTTACTTACTATAAGTAAGCTGTGATATAGGGTCTTATATATTTCAGTTTTTTTGTAATTCTGTTTAATAACTGATATATTTGTATAATATTTATGTATATTGGGATATCTATTTCTATTATTATCTGAATAATTGGATTTAATGTAACACTGTGATATAGGCGGCATTCTTTCTGAATAATCACTGATTTAACTTTCTAGAAGGAATTGTAATGAAGACGTATACATTGTCTCCTATTGTTGAAAGGAATTTCAGGCAAATACTCGGTGAAGAACGACCAAATGTTTCACTTTGTCTCTTTCCTTCTTTTCTTTCTCAAAGTTCAGCTCATTTTCACAGGATTGGTTACTACCTACTATAGAGAAACCTCTTTTCAACTGAAAACTGATTAAATGCACTTGCGACCACTTTTACACACGAAAATACGTTGCCAAGTTAATACAAAGATATTTATCCTACTTAAAGACTATTAAAGGCGCAATTAGTCACAGAAGAGTATATGTAACTGGGCATAATATTTTTGTAGCAACACTTATTTTAATAAAATTTTGAACTTAAACAGATATGAAGATCTTAAGAAAACTAATTGGTCCTAGATCATGAGTTTGAAGTGAGTGTTTAATTAAAAGTCCAATATTTAAATCTAAGTTTATCGAAAAACTGAAATAAATCAACAGTAATCAATTCAAGTTGGAAATTTAGAAAATCTACCTCGAACAAGAAACATACTATAGAAATCGTTGCGTCTGTGGTGAGTAACCCTCTGCGTACATGACAACAGTTGCTCGTGAGAATGATGTCTTAACAAATAATCACTGTCGAGAAACAATTCAAAAGACTTGCTCGGTCATCGGATTTTACTCTTCTCGATTTTTTCAGTTTGAGCTATATCAAATCGAAAGATTAGGTTGCGCAACCTGGAACAATATGGAAACTCGGAGATAGAGTTTCTGAAACTTATGCTACCATTACCCCAGGAACAAATGGTGAGGACAGCGGAACTCTCGGAGAACAGGGCCATTGAATCTGGTGTACCACAGGGTTCTGTGTTAGGTCCTATTCTGTTTCTGCTATATATGAATAACATCTCTAAGATTAACATAACTGGTTTCACCCTATTCGCGGATGATACTACAATATTGTGGAAAGAAAAAAACTTGGAGCTAAATAAAATAATATCATCCGACTTGAAGAAGATGAAGAGCTGGTGCGATGAAAATTTACTCTCTCTCATTGCATCCAAAACGAATATACTTAATATCATTCAAATGTTCCCTTGATGGAATTTCAATAGACCCCATATTACAAAATAAATTAAACACAAAAAGAAAAAGATTTCCTCAGGATGTTATGCAGTTAGAGTAGTTTCAGATGAGTTGGGTTTCCATATCGCAAAGACCGTTTACCATGCACTTATTGAATCTCGACTACGTTATGGAATACCTTTTTGGGAAGCACGCAACTCATCCTTTCTCTCTTCTGTATTGATATTATAGAAGAGGGCACTAAGATGTCTCTGTAAAGTCAAACCCAGAGATTCGTGCAGGAACTTGTTCACTGCCACTAAAATTTCAACAGTATCGCACTTTTTATCTTATTTATAATCATAAATCAAAGTTCAAATTTGCTTCTACTCCTTATACTACTCGAAATAGCAATTATACCTTTAGACTTCCCATCCCAACTTCGAATTTAATCAAGGATTCCATATACTATAATGGTGGTAAATTGTTCAATCATTTACCATTAGAAATGAGATATGCAAGCGGTGAAGAACCCACTTGTTGATAGACCCTATATTATAGTTTGGAAGAGTATTTTAGCGAATCCTTTTAACATTATATCAGCAATTAATTATTTGTACTACATATCACTTCATACATGGTGGTATTTTATTTATACATGTTTAGAACTTTTTTATATTGTCATTTATACATTTTTGGAACTTTCTTTTTATAACTACATTTATACTTTTTCTATATCAACATTGTATTTCTTGGACTTTGTCAATAAGATGCAAATCTTCGGACAATAAAGTACATTTTGATTTGATTTGAAGTGAAATTTAGTGTTTAAAACCCGCGAACAGTATTGAACAACCCAGTAGATGTAAGGACAAAAAGGATGAGCTTGAATAATTAATATTCATTATATAGCAATTAGTCTCAAATGTTTTGTTATCAAATATAACTGGCCTAATTCTGTCCCAACAAAAAAAATGTTATCTACGTTTTTGTTTACTTTCCACAGAAGATAAGGAAGTGTTTACTGAACAGTTTTCTCTTATACATTTGTAACTGAAGACTGGACATTCAGTGTGTTTCCAGTCATGTGAAAGAGATAGTATATCAATAAATAATTGGAAACGTGTTTCGGAACCAGCCAATATGAATTTGCTTCAGTCAAAAATATTTTCTGTGGTGGTTTTGGGGCTGGCTAGTTTATTCGTGGGCATTCTACCGAATTGTTTTGGTCGCCAAGGACGAAAGCAATGGCCGCTTCTCCTCTCGAGCCTCCTCTGCTTCGGAGGGGGAGTCCTGTTATCAACGGCTCTACTACACATTCTCCCGGAATTGAGAGAATCTATACCAGAGGAGTACAAGCAGTACGTGGAAATAGTGTTCTGTTTGGGTTTTTTCATTCTATACATGGTGGACGAAATCGTCCATTTCTTCTACGGAGACACGCACGAGGCGAATATCTTTCACAACCATCGGAAATCTCGTTGTGTAGAACTGGTATATTTCGTAACTGCTTTGGTGCCGACACGGCCGGGCGAATATCTTTCACAACCATGGCCACAACAACAATGAGAGGAGGCGCTCCTCTTCAGCTAAGTATGCTTACGGAACAATGGAAAGTCGGCATTTGCTGCATCGGGAATCTTCATCTCAGGCTTCTTACAATCCTTCGTTCTACAGAGCTAGGAGTGACAGTGTACTATTTTGCGACCAACCGCCTTCTCAGTTGTGTCACGTGGGACATCAGGAACCCTGTTCTGCAGCACCGACAGCTAATATTGGACTTTTGGCTGCCCTTTCTGTTCACGCTCTATTGGAGGGGTTGGTCGTTGGGCTGGAAGGAAGATCGGACAAGGTGAATATTAAAAACATTCGTTTTCAACTTTGAGGGGTCTCTCCCAATTTGAAACAAAACAAAATCTTTGCGCCGATTTGGAATGAACTGGATGAAATTATCAGGTTATTATACTGGATAAAAGACGGGTTGGTTCCCCATATAAATAGTAGGTTTGTCTTCAATAATAAACAATCTGAATAACAATTCGGAAACCTGAAACAAAAAGTGTACAAGATGGAAGCGAATCAACCCTTTAAAAGAGTTCATTACGACTGGGTTATTTTATTTGTAATACAGGGTGTAACTAAATAAGTGTAAAACATTTAAGGAGGTGATTCCTCATATAAAGAAATTTCATTGGAGCATCCCTTGTTAAGATACAGCCCCTTGAAGGGGGTACATAAAATTTGTATAACAATTTTTTTAACAAGCACTAAAAAAGGGTCGAAGAAAGCAGCGGTAATTTGAAGCTGAATCTTTGCCTGGTTTGATAAATTGGATCGTCCAAGTTCTTAAACAAGACCCTATTTTTGAAGAGAAGGCTGAATGTCTCATTTATAAATAAGGAGACCACAGTAAGGATTCTGTTAGAGGCAAAAAGAGGCCGACAAGAGTCCTTAGGCTTGGCTTTGCATATGCATCGTATTGCACGTTTTTGTATTAGTATATAATACTGATTCAAGGCATGTGGTAGAACACACACCCCAAAAGCGAATACCATAACGAAGATGGGATTCAAAAAGGGAATGATGAACCATTCTAGTTTCTGCAGATCCGAGCTCGAATGCAGGTATTGCATTTGAAATCCTCTCCAGAGGAGAGGATTTCAAAGTATCTACATATTAGTTGAATTTTAAATTATTGTCAGTGAACAAGCCAAGGAATTTAGAAGTTGGTACGTTGTCAATTTGAATATTATTTAGATGTACCTACGGCAGTTCAAGAGATTTGAATCAAACCAATCTTTCACTTTCGTGATGTCATTCTCAATAACTTCATACAACGTATGGTTGTTAGGAGCATGCCATAAAATTGTGGTATCATCAGCAAATAAAGTAAATTTTTCTTGGATATTAATAGACGATGGGTCATTAATGTAAATCAAAAATAAAAGTGGTCCCAGTACCGATCCTTGTGGGAAGCCGCAAGTATTTTCAGTTGAGTATGAAATGGTTTTGACCATCTGGGTGCGATCTGCTAAGTATGACTCGTGACACGTGACAATCCGATCCAAGAAAGGATCGTTTTGGTTGCGCAATAGCAAAGAAGAACCGACTCCTGAAACGTGACAATTTCTGTCGATCATTCAAATCGTGGAGCACCCACTTTTCGAGCTCTTTGACTTTCCCAATACGTTTTAAACATCAAACATCGCATGGGAGTTGATGTCCAGTTCTTTCATTATACCACCACACAGTAGAATAAATATTCATTGAGATATGGAGCTAAAAAACACATGACACTAAAACGGACAAAACTTTTAAAACAACCTATTAAATATGAATTATTTGAAATATTTTTGCAGGTCTTGCTGTTGTTAGGAGCAATATCATCGCATAAACTGGTTGTTTCTTTTTGTTTGGGAATGGAACTGACTTCAAATCCATTATATAAATTCAGGAGGCACTTCGTTTACATTCTAATTTTCTCATTAGGATCCTCTGGTGGTATTCTAGTCGGGATGTTCGTAACGAATATTCCTACTGAGATCAAGAATTTGATGATACCAATTTTACAGGTAATGATAATTTACGAAGTAGATCTTTATGGGGTATTCTCTGATGAAGAGAATTCTTCAGGTTGTAATTATTCTCAGATTGTTTCACAAAAAAATGTTCATATAAATATTATATATCTTCACCAGTTTAATTATTTTGCACAATATGTACAAGTTGAATTAATAACTTTGGTTATTTTTAATTTTGGTACTTATTTGATAATGGAATTGACACTTGTTTGATTAAAAAGCTTATCACATTGGTCTACCAGTAGCGTATCTGGAAACCTGTGACATTTTTTGGTAAAAAAATGATAAATTCGCTGTCGTTCTTAGATGAAATTAATTTGCCAAATCAGATTGGTCAATACTTGACTAAATAAAATTTTAAATTATATTTTTATTCACATTTGTACTTTTTTGGAAAATTCAGAACCTACCATTTTCAGTACCAATACCATGACGTCAATCAATCAATCAATATATGCTTTACTGTCGAAAGAATAGTATCTTATTGACAAAGAGACAAAGACTTGTAAAAAAATTAAATGCATGTCAGAAAATACAAAAACTACAATACATAATATAAAAAATACAAACATGACAATTTCACAAATAAAACATTGAGAAGACAGATGAGTTTAGGTGAACATTGAAAAATCAAGTAGAATTTACAGGTTAACACAGTAGAATTAAAGGATACAAAAGTAAGCTTTTCTGATTGAAAGATCTTTAACTGTACTTCGGAACTTTTTGATATCTGTGCTATTTTTTTGAATGGTAGGAAGCTGCTGATTATATACTTTATTACTTTCATAAATCAGAGAATGCTGAGTCAAGGTGAAGTTTGAAATAGTTAAGTAAAGCATATGATTCTGTCTGGTGTTGTGACAATTTGTTCCGGGAGTATACATGCTAGTTTTATTTTTATGAATTGAGCATACCTACTGTTTCCATTATGTATAAACAGGTGACAGGTAATATTTTGTGGCTGATGAATAAAGGCTTGCACTGATCTCTTAGCTTAGAATTTTATCAATAAGTTATTTAAAGCTTTACAAAGTGAACTGAATGATTTATAATATGAACTAGAACTAGGACAAAGAATAAAAATATGTTTCACACACAGTTCAATCCCAGTTTCATCACATTCTAAATTACAGGGCATCGTCAAAATATTCTTGTAGGTCACAATAGGCTTTATCACTTGATAGTTTTGTAAATTTCTTTCTAAATATGATGAAAGAAGTCTCTTTGATTTCATTGGGAAGTTTATTGTATATCCTGATTCCATCACCTATATATCAACGAGTTTTGAACCAAACATGTTTTTGGAATTGGTAGACTCAGTTCATTTGACCGCCTTGTATGGTATGTGGCTGTAGCTGTAGATTCATAGTTCTCCCTATTTTTATGTCTAATTGACACGGTTACCAATATAAATATTGAAATAACCGTAAGGATTCTATGTTCTCGAAAAAGGGGGTTTACATGAATCCCGCCATTTCGCTTTACATAAGTACTTGATAGCCCTCTTCTGCAAAACAAAAACCATGAAAATATCTGAGTAGGAACATATTTAAGGAAGTATTAGCCTGATGTTAAATTTGATAAATGTTATGAAAATTAAGCCAAGTAAGATTCTAAAAGCATAAAAGAAAATGTTCATGAAATTAATGGCTACTGACCTTTTTCGTAGTTGAATAATGTAAGTAAACTTGTAAAAGACCTACCTACTGTTTTCAAGGTCTCTATGTAATAATATTAGGTAGAAAAGAAAGCCTACTTGGATTATATTTATATTTTGATGAACTTGATTTCACTATTTGCAGACTCAAGTCTGATTTTATCAATACCTAATTAAGTATTTAGGTGTCTGGATCAATAATAAGATTGTTGTTACATTTCAGTTTTGTTCATTCTGAAGGATCAGTTTTACCCATATATAGAACTTCATTTCTGCTTTAATGAATTTATTCATGTGTTTGAAAACGATTTTTTGACTGGACCAAAAATGTGACTTATTAAACATCCTTTGTTCGGGCACAACGAGAACAACAGCGATGAGTAATAGTGACTAATTGTATGCCTCATAATGAATAATGTTAAATTGATTTCAACATCCAAGTCTACAGGGACCAATCTGATGATAAAATCAATAGAACGGAGCCCATTTATTATAAAATACTACTCTGTTCGAAAAATAAAGTGATTTTTGGTCAAAATTAAGCCTGCGAAATTTGAACATTTACCTTATTTTCTGAAGAGCCCTAGGTTAAGAAATAATAATTTAATAATTAGATTAGATTAGAAACTTTTTTTACGTAGCTCATAATCTTTGCACATAATACTCATTTTAGCAACCATTACATTAACATAGTAATATAATTTATATAATTCCGGTTTATAATATAACTTCTGTGCGGCTAGCAATAGTGTAACAGTGGTATAAGAAAGTGTATTACGAGTATAACAGTCTATCTGACGATAATGTAATGTATGATACAATCTATCAATGATCATAGCGATATCACAGAGCATACAGGTATGAATCTCGTCGGATTTCAAACTGTTCAATATAGAGCCGGATTCCACACAGATGGATGGGAGGTCTTTCCAGACGTTCACTGTTCTGTCTGTGAGGAAACAAGTCCTCACATTTGTTCGTGTCTGTTCTATCCTCATTTTTCTGTCATGGCCCCTCAGTCCCCGGTTTTCGACAACTTTCGTATGAAGGCTATTTTCCGGGTTTTCTGACCGTGGCCTGCAGGTCTTTATGCCTGACGTTTCTTCTACTGCTGCGGTAGACGAAACGTCAGGCATAAAAACCTGCTGATCACGGCCAGAAAATAGCTTTCACACAGTTATCTCCGGCCGTGAAAGTTTACATTCTTCATCTTTCGGGATTTCGCAAATCCCTGGTAAACTATACAGGTTGTTCATCATCTTGTATATTTCGATAAGGTCACATTTGCACCTTTATTTCTGTTTGGAAATCAATAAACAAACCTCTGAAAACCTTAAAATCAAAATGATTAGAAGCATTTATAAATTACCATATTTGGAACTAACATTAAACGTATATAAACCAAACTATTTATTGCACTTGAATTCACTCTATAAACTCAAAATCATCTGTTTATTCACTCTGTTAAAAAAATACAAAGAAATCAAACTTGTAACATTTCAAATTGGACGTATTCACAATCATGCCACAAGACGAACCAAATTACTGTTAAAAATTTAAATGGCAAAGTGCTATTTGTTTTACATTTTCTAAATTCTCAAATTTCAGTTTTTCTCGAATATCTCCGAAACTACTCGGAATATTAAAATTTTCTAAATGGCATATCATTAGGCAAATAAATGCCCTACTTTTCTCTAATTCAATCGACCCTGTATCACTTACCGTTTCCGCTATCCTCATGCTGTTCATCCTTATCTTGGACACACCGAATACTTTTACAATTCCAAAATGTGTGCTTTGACCAAAATATATATTAAAATGGAATCATCATGTCAGTGAAGAGTCACTCTTCAAAATAAGTTCAATGATGGAGTATAATTTTTTCAGGGTCTTGCTGGTGGTACATTGTTATATGTCACTGTGAGCGAAGTATTGCCCCGAGAAAGGGCAAGATGGCATCAGCAACATGAAAAAAGGGGAGCCGGGCTTATTCAGTTTTTCTCAGTAGCACTAGGATTTGGCCTTATGACTGTTCTAACTAAATACTTGGGTGAGATTGGTTGCAAAATTTATTTTTTTTATCGTAATTTACTTTTCTCTTTACAGATTATGATGGATAATATAATTTTTTTTTACAACTATCTCAGCATAATGATAGGATCAATTATTGACAAAGTCTGTGACCTAATTTATTATACATAAATGAAAACGAAGGAATAAAGAGAAATTGGAATAAAAATGTGTCTCAATCTTTACACACCCACTAATAAACATGTTATTGTACCCACTTTTTTCTTTAACAAATGTAGGTTACATTTTCATACTGTTTCATTTATCTTGAAAGAAACAATCCAAAGAGAATAAAGAAGAGAACTGAACTTCTTGGTCTATTTCTTATCTAGTCTACCACATTACCATATGCACATAAATAAAATATTTTCTTTTTTCAATCACTAATATTTTAATCTCATTTCTTGCAAACATTTTTGAGCTAAATGAATTCGTGTTCAATCTCCTACAAAGCAGAAGTATCACCAAAAATTAAAACTTATATTTTTGTGGTTGAAATCAAAGTGGAAGTAACATAAAAACTAAGTATATTGACTTTTATCTAATCATCTCAGGACACAATAAGTAAAAAATATCTTTTTCATTTGCAACTCAAGAAATTCACAGGGTCACCTCACCACCATCTTCAACAATTCCCTCCATTTCTTCATCACTTTCCTCAATGCTCTCTTTCTGGTCCTCTTTGCGTTGTTTCAACCCAGCTGCTGGTGAACGGATGAGTGAAAGATCTCGTTGTACTTCCTTTATGTCCTTTTCTTGTTCCAATTCTCTGCCTTTTCTTAACCTCTGCATAATATAAGCTTTCTGTCTTTTTTGCTTAATAATTTCTACTTTCTTCATGGCTTCCACTGCTTTGGTGAAAGTCTCTCTGTCGTACTTAACAGGAATCTGTCTACGCTTCTCAAACTCAAAGGCAGGATCAATTGACAATTCCTTTCCGACATTCTTTCTATATGCTTTCGTCCATTTGACTTTACGGGGATTCTTTTTCTTTTTGAATGCAGCATGACATTTAGACCTACAGAATCTGAATATCTAGAAAAAGAGGTTATGTTGGCAATATAGCTATCTGAATGCAATAAGATGTAATCTGCTCTTCTATCTCATTTTCAATTTATCATTCTTCTTGATTTTTTGTTTCGTTCATGATTTTGAAATCACCCATATGTATAGGAAAGATTTTTATAAAACCGTAAATCTATAATTTATTGTTGGATACCCTGAAAAAGAGACAGAAAAAGACAGATTTACTATCTGTCAGTAGTTAATTGTCAACCCAGTAGTATGAAAAGTCTACAGACAGAAGCACTTCTCCATGTATACCTTGTACTCCTAAAGACTACCCAGTATGAATTCGAGGGACCATTTCCGTAAGGTTGCGCTGCAAAACTATGTATTCAGAAAATTTCAACGAATTTCGGTTTCCGTTGAGACTAATGATTCTTCTGAGAAATTTTGAACTTTCACTATTTGAGAACTCTTTCATTTGGAGAACTGCGTTTATGTGAAATAAACTTCCTGAGAACGTTTTCTGAAGGATATTTAACGGTGTCACGTTTTAATTATATTCAAATAAAAGAGCATGACAAGTGTGAGTGTAGTGGAACGGAACCTGTGGCACATTTTCTTCGCATGTCTTTATAATTAAGACAATATTCTGACATTGCACAATTAATTTCAAAGAATAAACACTTAGTATGGTCCGCTCCCTCTATATTACCATCTCCCAACTCAATCAGTAAAAGTGTGTGCATCATATTATCAATATGAAGATAGTAACGCTAATTAGGCCAGTTTCACTAATTGATTATGTCTTCTAGTGAGATGATTTTGTAGTGCATAGACAAGAACATTTATCAGATACTACTTTCTACGTGAATGTGGATGAGTCTGTTCCAGGCTCACTTAAGTGTGACCTCACTTGGTTTTACAAATGATACCTTCGTTCCCAACTTGCCGGATAACCCTGTGTGCACAGGTCAATGAATTGAAAGAATAAGAAGATTTAAGAATTGACCATGAATTACGAGGGTTCCACAAAATGCATTTCTAGGTCGTCAGGATTATGCGCAGTTGATATAGTAGGTTCTGGTTTTTTGAGGAAACGTTGGGATTCCCCTATGCTCTGGTTTTGGCTGCGAAATGATGCAAAATTGTAGTGCCATCCATTTGGGCATTTATTCAACAGTATTTGTTATATATTTAATTATTATTGTTATGACATTTTAATATGTAATGTTTACAAAATAATAAATAGGGATGCTTATATGAGTAGATATTATATAGGTACAAGCAAAAATTATGATGTGTTATCAAATGAATTCGATGAATATTCGTCAAATGTTGTGACTGAAGGTTCTATAATTTTCTCAACTGAAAGTAGTTTTCAATCTCAGTATCTATTGACCTTATTAAGTGATGCGACCCCATGGTTGCCAACTGCGGTAAAATAATGACATTTGACAATTCGATATTTGCTAATAAAAAAATAACCTATGTTTCTGAGTTCCTTCTGCATTTTAATTTTTGGTAAACGAGAAACTGATTTCCAGAATATGGGCGAAAAGAGATTTCCAGTCCTCCTATATGAAGTTGGGGCTCCAGAATGAAGAATTAGCTATGAAGAAATATAAGATGGTCTGTCCCGAAAATGAAAATGCAGAAGCAACCCAGAAAGATAGGTCAAATGTCATTATTTTACCGCAGTTGGCAACCATGGGGTCGCATCACTTAATAAGGATAATGCAGAGTTTGAAAGTTTTTCAAATATTCAGGTGCATTACAATGGATGATACCAAAACTGTTTGGTGTGGAAACTTGTCAGATCAGGTAACTGAGGAATTACTTTATGAACTTTTTCTACAAGCTGGTCCACTGGAAAGAGTGAAAATACCGACGGATAGAGACGGAAGAAAATCAAATTTTGCATTCATAACCTTCAAACATGAAAAATCTGTGAATTATGTTCTTCAGCTTCTAAAGGGCACAAGACTCTTTGATAGGCTCCTGATTGTCAAGCAAAGAATCGGAATCACGCAAAACAGACCACTCGACAGAAATTCGAGACAGCCTGAGTTTCAAAACAATACAATTAATCAACTAAGACTGGAGTGTTTACCAAGGTTTGATCATTCGACTAATAGATTTGCATATAACAGACTAAACTATAGTGGTCATAAAAGGAAGAGAATAATGGAAGATGACAGACTGAACTATAATGGTCATAAAAGGAAAAAAACAATGAGTATGTAAAATAAAAAAATATAAGAATGCTAATTATTGTAAAGAAAAATTATTTCTGTGAAAATGGGATGGACATAAATTATCAAATGATTTAAACAATAAATGAAGTTTCAATAATGAAGAGAAATGAATATCGATATTTCAAATAATATTACTTCATGCTGCTCTTGTTTACTCTGTTGGCGTTTTGTCAACAGAGTACTCAACCAAAATTTAGTGATTTTGTTATAAAAGACAACCAATTTTTATATCTCAAAAGGATCACAAACAAAAGATTTTATGAGCTTTTGAGTGGTTTTATTCCCTGAAGTGCCATCCGTTCTGGTATTTATTCAGCAATATTTTTCACATATAAGTACAATTAATAATTTTATGACATTTTGATATGTAGCTGATATTTACAAAATAAAAAATAGGTAAAAGTAAAGTTGACTTTTCAAAAGACAAATACCTAATTCTCTGCTGCGAAGAGGATGCAAAAAATTAGTTTATTGGGACAAACTCTCAAAATAAGAACAAAAAACTTCGTTGAACGAAGCTATACAGTTGAATTTGGATTACAATGAATCACTAATCGAACACAGAAAAATCGTCACAGATATGCAAAAACTCATTGACGACCTACAACAAAAAGTAAGCAAAGAGATAAAAACCGAGAACTGCGCACTGACACCCAAACAAAAAAATTGTGGAAACTTCAACGAAAAGAACTGTGTTCGGTGTTCATACCAACACAGTGGAATAAAAAAATTCTATTGATCATATATATACAAGGGTACCTGAAACGCAAGAATATAAATGCGGCCTTGAGTAAGTGACCAGGTTCAATTCAATGTCACAAAAACCTAGGCATCGGTTTTCTCCAAAAGGTAAATGTCTCCGAATCGGATATAATAATGTCAGGACAGACAATTCCGCTTTCTGCTTCGATAAGTTTGTTATGGGTTAAAATGGGCACCAATATGTCTTTACACAATCCTGTCGCTAGAATTGCAAAGGCTGCTTCTCAAAAGCTTGGAACACTGTTCCGAATCAGAAAATCGTACAAATCTCAGTAACTTTTGATGCTTCATAAAGCTGAGATCAGGTTGGAGATTTGTCTGTCTTCTATAGTTACTTTCACGTGAAGTGTTTAAGTGACTTGGCACATTTGATTCCACCAAGAGCGGTACATATCAAAAATACGCGACGGACTGTGGCTGCTCATCGTTTTGAGGTTCAGCTCAGGACACCTCGAACTTCACTGTTCAAGAACTCTTTCATTGAAGAACTGGAATAAACTTCCTGAGAACGTTTTTCCAAACGGATTTAATCTCCAGCGATTCAAATCCAATGTTAATCGCTACTTTCACACAGGCACCGCTATTAGAGAGCTTAAAGATTTTCTGTAGTACTTGTGTTTTGTCCAAAAAAAATCCCTCCGCATGTTACCAGACTCCACGATAGGGATAGGAATGAATATGCCTAAGAAAGATTATGCATTTTCAGTTAGACTACAAGACCTTACAAATATATGTGACGCAGAAATAACTACAATATATAAAGGAATGATGGCATGTATTGATAATGGCTGTAACAAAAATATATTTACAGATTTCAAAAGTGCTTTTGATATAATTGAAAATGCATACAATGTGAATAGTGACATTATCCTAAATATGAAATTAAATATGTAATTAAATTCGATTTTACTGGGACACGGAAATATAGAAGGAATTGATCAGGAAACAATTTTAGGATTCACACTGAATATCCTAAGATACCTTGGTACTGGAAAGTGCCAGCCATGAATAGACGACACATAACAACCATCATTAGACAAAAAACTGGTCATTGCATGATTATTCCGGGTACGGGTGAGTGATAAGGCCTAATTGCGAATGTGAGAAACCGGAAAATGCAAATATATTTTCTTTGAATGTCCCATCAATATTATCCCTGAGTACAATATTTACTAAAATCTAATAGGAACCGAAATACCATCAGTCCTAGCCATGTGTAAGGTCCTAAGATATCTGACTGTGAGAATCAGGAGAATATTGAAACAAATATATGTTTTGTGCCATTTGTCATGAATCTCTCAGTACACAGAAGAATAAAGCAAAGAAAAAAACAGGTAGGAATGATAGGATTAAAAGATCAAAAAAACGGACGCAGGGTTGCATAACGCAAGAAAACTTGCGTCCATGGACGAAGCTTCTGTTCCATGATGACAACTATGAAAGAGAAGGGGTGATTAATGTAGTATTCAGTATTATCAATTGTAAATCTTAACGGTAAATAATTTCGGGTGCATACGATCAGCAGAGCTTCAAAAGTTATTTTAATAATCAGTTGCAATACCATGGATGATACTAAAACGGTTTGGTGCGGAAACTTGTCAGATCAGGTTACTGAGGAATTACTTTATGAACTTTTTCTACAAGCTGGTCCACTGGAAAGAGTGAAAATACCGACGGATAAAGAAGGAAGAAAATCAAATTTTGCGTTCATTACTTTCAAACATGAACAATCTGTGAACTATGTTCTTCAGCTTTTAAAAGGCATAAGACTCTTTGATAAGCTCCTGAATGTCAAGCCAAGAAATGGAAACTCGCAAAACAGACCACTCGACAGAAATGCGGGACAGCCTGACTTTCAAAACAATAAAATCAATCATCTAAGGCTGGGGTGTTCACCTAGGTTTGATCATTCACCAAATAGATTTGCAGATAACAGACTAAACTATAGTGGTAATAACAGTTTCCACGATATGGATGACAAACATCATAATCAAGAAATCCACAGAGATATGCAGTATGATCATAACCTTCACAGAAGTCATCATGGGAAAGAAGACCAACATTATGATCAAGAAATCAAAAGAGATATGCAATATGAAAGAAACATGCACAGAAGTCATCATGATAGGGAAGATCAACACTATGAGCAAGATGATAATAGAGATAAACATTACGATCGGGACATTCGTAGAAATCATTATGTACAGGGTAGAAGAAATCATTCGGACACCCCTTATCGACGAAATAACTACAGTGAAGGAAGAAATAATTTTAACAGCAGACATGGCAGAAAACTTGGCAGATTTTAAAATATTTCAGTTTTTCATAAATTTCACTCACCATCTCTTCAACTCCAACAGAAGATAGTTGGAAACTTTCGGAACATGTATGGTAATAAAAATTTATGAAGTATTTGGCTTGGGTTCTAAAATATTTTACTCAAAAAAATCTATTCAGGGAACAAGCGAAATATAGAACAATCCATTACAAGTATCTGAAACAATGTGTTAACTAATTTTAAATCAATTAAAAATATTCTAGTGAGAATGGAACTGAATTATTAAATGATTTCAACAATAAGTGAAATTTCAAATAAAGAGAAATTGATAATTGATATTTCAAACTACATTACTTCGTGCTGCTATTGTTTACTCTGTTTTCTAATTGCAAAACCGACTCATTTATGTACGCCTATGGAACAGCTACTTGAGAGTTATTCATAACTCTGCTGTCTAAGAAAGTAGACTGTAGTAACCACAATCGTCTTCAGTTGATAACTGGCTAGTTACCACCAGTAATTGTTTGGTACTTGTATTTGCAATATTTTTAACGTTTCATCCTTTTTTTCTCATACACGTCAAATCTGCAAACACTTATTAGACAATGAAGTTCCAAATCCTTGACATTCAAAAAAGTGAAACATTCTTCAAGAAAGATGATGCTGTGATTTAAAGTTTATTTAAAACCATCATTAGTAGAATGATTTTACGGTTGTTGCTATTTTAGTAGCAGTTCTTCTCTCGATCTATGTGGATGATCTAACATATGTTGATACGGTAGGTAGTTTCGCATGATATGCTGATGACGCAACTATCGCCTGGAACTCGAAAAAGTGTGTTGAGGAAGATATTGAAAAAGTATTCAATTAGTGTGAATCGAATTGACTTTCGTTTAATGCTAAAAATAAATAATTTACTGACATTCTAGTGCTCCTTTCAGAATTTGCCAATTCAAGAATCAACTCAAATTCGATGAACATTTAACAAAATTTTTAAGTTTTCTTCTGATTGATATGCAGTTAATATCGATAGAATTAGGGTATTATGATCTTGAAATCTTTGAAGATTCCTTTTGATATGTTCACTATTTTAATCTGTTAATTTTGTTATTAGGATTTCTATACGGCTATACGTATGCAATTATTTGTGGTCGCATTGTTTTTTTACTTCATTTGACATTGTATACCATATTGTATCACTTATTTTATGTAATCATGAATTATTTCATGTAAAATAAAGTATATTATCATCATTATATTTCAAATATTTTGCCCAAAGAGATGAAATGACAAGTATCAACTGGACGGGTAATCAAAAAGCATTAAAATGTTAGGAATTGCATGTTGAAAGGTAAGACCTTGATACTCATCTTCCTATGAGGACCAAGCTGGCTTACGGAAAAACCCATTTACAAAATTTCTTGTAAATAATCTCGATGAAAAATTGTGGAAGGATTTAGAAGTAAAATGTATTTCGAGTCTATATTATAAACAAAATAGATACAAAACCTAACTAATATCAGAAACAGATTCTTCAGGAATATTTAATCTCCTACAATAGTAGACAAGCCAGAAAATTTTACTTACAACATATCAAAGGAAAAAAATTGGCGTTTTGGAATTACATTGTACAGTATTCTCACCAACGAAAAGAAATTGAAAACTATTCTCAAAATAAATAAGTGAATTACTTTGTCCTTCATTCCTAGTACTATAATTCCAATATTACAATAAATCAACTCAAAACACTTTTTAAATACGAAAGACTACTCCATCCACTAACATAACTTGATTGTCGTCAGTCATTCTTTGGATAGCGGCATTCATTTCTCCCTGAGTAAAAGGTGACCTACTATCCATATTGACAGACTCCCTAATTCTACTCAGACTGAGGGACTCTGATCTATTTTCCACGAAGGCACGTTGCAAACTTGTTTTGAATGATAATAACCTGCAATAAAATAAATATATAGAAAATAATTCATGCCAAAAATGGAAACGTAAAACATACCTTTCCTCTGAAATCTCATTTGGACTATCATCGACTTCCATGCTTTCACTTTCCTCCTGAGAATGTCCATTAATATTACTGTCAAGCCCATTAGTGGCGGGTTGTTCTGTTGGTATTTCTTCATCGATTCTTGGGACAGTCGATCCACTTTGGACTGAACTTTGAGTAAGGATTACTTCTTCTTCCGAGTCACCTACTTCTGATCTCTAAAAAATAAAATTTGTTGAACATCAGTGGTTGTATGCAAAAACAGAAACCATAATACATGAAATACAGTAAATAAGAATACATACCACTCTTGTTCTCTTTGGTCTTTGTTCTTCTTCATCATCCGAATGCTCTTCCTCCCTCTTCTTTCGTTTCTTCTCTTTTTCAAGTATTTTTTTGAAGTAGGCATACCGAATCAATTCTATGGCAGCGTGAGCATCTTCTTCTGTGACTGTTCTAGACATTCTAGCTTTGGCATGAGCAGTGGAGAGACGTATCATTGTTTCTAGTGTACGAGGAGTAACAGGTTGTGTCTAAAAATGGAAGAACCAAAAAAATACATCAAGAAGATCGAAAATACACCCAGATAATTGTTATATGATGAGTTCTTGAGATAGCGATGGGGTTCTAACCAACTAGTCACTGATTGATCTGATATTACAGCTAAATATACAGTAAAATTATTGATAAAGTTACAAGTTGCCTTAAAGAAGTGATTTCAAGAATTATAATTTAAATTATCCAAAACTAAGGTATCCAACTCAGAAAGGAGCAAAAAATGAAGAAATTAAAGTAGTAGTCATGCGAGTTCTTCAAATGAGCTTGATACATTACATATGAAAACTTGTATTACCAACCCTGGCTATGTCATTGTCCAACATCTCTTGGGACCTCAATCTGGAATATTCATCGGCAATAATCTCGGAGGCTGCTTCTGTGAGGACAGGCTTCAATATCTTGACAAAATGTATGTACTTTCTCATAAATTCTACGCTCAAGATTTTATCTGTTCGTCTACGGGTGTTACCATGAAGTAACGCATCATATTTTTCATAAACAGGCGTTTCCTTGTCTCCGTCCATATCCTCTGGATTCAAGGTACTCCACTTATCGATACTAGAACCCATAGGCAGTACCGCACCATCTTGTTCTAGAGGGTTTCTGAAAGTACAAGACTGTGTACAAACTTTTGGATTAACAGATTAGATTAGAAATTATAAATTTCCAATAAATGTAGTGCATGAACCTGGACACGTGTTTCGCTATACAATAGCTTCCTCAAGCGTAAAAGCGTGTCAGTCTACATTGGAATTACGAAAAGAAATGTAGGTACCCGTCTCTCTAAACACAAGATAAATTGTTGACTCGGACAAACCGACAAATCATCTGTAGCTGAACAACTTCTGAACAGAGAAGGCAAACAGATTATCTCATTTGAAAATACAGTAATACTCGATAAAAATCAAAAACACACGGATAATTTCAACAGAAAAGAAGAGGCAATGAACATTAATAAAATATGGCTACCTGTCCTCAATTGTACACAAACAAGGTCAGGTAATCCATTAAAAAGATTAAGAGAAACCAAGCTGCGCCCACTAATAATATAGAACCGTAGTTACAGCGTTTGGAACAACGGGAACAAAAAATCGGGCACTGCGACCATTACCACATCGCCGCTGATAGTGTATACCGCAGTAGTAGACGAAACGCCAGGCATAAAAACCTGTAGACCTCGGCCAAAAAACTCGGAAAATAGCTTATACAGAGTTATCTCCGGCCTTGAAAGTTTACATTCTTTGAATTTAGGTAATTATGCAGTGAGTATATGTACTCAGTCCAGTTGAAAAATTCATTGATGTGAACTCCCAGAAATAGTAGTAGTAGTAGTATATTTGGTGCTAATACAAAGTTTACACAAGTCATAACAGATATTGCTTATCTATAAATACAAAATATAAAATATTCAGATAACTTGAATGGTTAAATGGACAATTACTATAGATATACATACATTTGTGCAAATAAAACAAACTAACTATGAAATAGAAATATAAAACAAGTTAAAATATATATGATTAAGTGGTATTACATGTCTCGAAAACCATCACTAAAATATTCATCTAAGGAATAAAAAGCTTTTTTAATTAAAAAATGTTTGATTCTGTATTTGAACTGTTAAAATATGTATCTAAACAGATGATGTACAAAAACGAATCTACGTTCCCAGAAAGCTGGCCTGATAAGTGTCAAGGGAAACGAATAAAACTGAAGGGTCTTACTTATTTATGACCATGTTTATTTAGGATAATGATTGTGCATTCCTACGTGCGCCGTAATCTTATATTAATGGATTTTAACAATGCCCTCGAATAGGTCTGGGGTGTGAAGATAAAAATATGATAAGAATATAACTAGTCAGTCGTTCTTATGTGTCTAAAGTAGAAGCACTGAAATATACTCTAATGTTCTCCTATTAATTGTGTTTTATTCAACCACTGATGAACTGTGTAATAATTCAATATGAACTCCTTCAAAGGTAGATTTTTGATATTTTGGGGAAGCGAATTATACATTTTTGGAGCATAATAATTTACGCCAGTTCTGGTTCCTCAGGAGATAAGTATTTTTGGATATTTTGACTATAAGTCTATCAATATTTACATTCCAAGTCAATTTGGGGTCAATGTATACACCTAGAAACCTAACATATTCAGGGTTACTGATATCTGGAACTTCGCGCAACGAAAAAATGACTGTTTGGCTCTTATCTTCATTAAGTTCAAGATTATTTATGGCAAACCACTCACTGACATTTGTCAGAGTATCCTCGAATGTGGTACGCAAAGTATCAATATTATTTCCAGAAATTGATACACTTGTATCATCAGCAAACAACACGAAGTTAGCACTTGTGTCACTAAATCTTATATCATTGAAGTAAATCAAGAAAAGGATCGGTCCCAATATCGACCCCTGGGGAACTCCATACTCAATAGAAAGTAAGCTAGTAAATTTGCCATTCAAGTAAACAGCTTGCTGTCTGTCGTCCAGATAGGACTTCATCAGTTTAAGACTGCCTGTAGATATTTAAAGTGAACAAAAACCAATTTATTACAAATTATCAGTTAATAAAAATTTAACACCCACCTGTATCTATGCATCCTCACAACATGATCAGAAATTTTCAGATCATTGTCTTCATCGACTGAATCCAGCATCACAAAAAGACAGTCGAAACGAGAAAGTAGAGAGTCTTGAAGGCCAATATTTTCCATTGGAGTTTTATATTGATTATACTGAAATGAAGAATGTCAAGCTCAAGTTTTTAATGATTTCAATGTAACAAAAGTGCCGTCTGAATCATCATTTCTACTTAATTGAAGAACACTTGAACAACATAAGTTCTTTGTTAACGGCAACTTTTACCTCCATTATTTAGTTTCCTTAATTAAGTGTAGCTTACGTATTGTTTGTCAATATAAGACTATTTCTATTGTATTATGATCATCAATGCCCACAGCAAAAGTCAGTTTTTAGAAGGTCAATTCTCACTTATAAAATAAAAGGTACTGATTTTTTTTTATCACTAAGTAAAGTTGCAAATCAATATATGAAATATAATAATGTTTACATTAATACAGGTACAGTTGAAAACTAAATGAAAGTATTTTGTTTAAATATTCATGATAAAACAGCCTAAACAGGAAGTGAAACAAACCCAGGTAAATGGTACCAACCACACCTATAAATTGAGAAAGTTTGAGTGGATCAGTCTAGTTCTAAACTCCAGACATCACTAAAAGATGGAAAATTGAGACTTTTGTCGAAAAGTTGTGAAAATAATCCTAGTGAGGATCAAAAACACACCCCTTCCCTCTCATGTGAACCTACGACTTTATAGGTAAATGTGGCAGATACCCAACGGAAAAACAACAACTAACCCAGCTAATACTGCGCAGAAAGCTGAAGTAAAACCATCAGGCACGTGTGCAACGTATTCCTTTTGGAATACGTTCTATACATGAAAAGAATATATTAAATTTCATTCAGTCGGGAAGACAACTGATTTCAGGTTACTTGCCTCTCATCATCACCGGGAAAGTCATTTCAGACACAGTGAACCGTCTGAGTATCCAGAACAAACAAAATTAATTCCAGTTAGTCATAAACTCTATCTGCAGTTGATTCAGTAGAATGTTCACTGCGCCACCTGCAGACAAAGACCGGAAACAACTCCACAAAAACATACTCCGGGGTGGTAGTCAGAATAATGAAGATATTCCGGAGAGGTGCATTTGACGTGCCCAAGTTCAGGCGAAAGACATCCTACCCCTTGCCTTTCATGTGAATCTTCAACTTTGTAGGTACGTGTGGCAGATACCCGACGATAGAACAACTAACCCAGCTAACGCCGCACAGAAAGCTGAAGAAAAACCATCAGGCATTTGCAACAAATTTGGAAAATTCAGGTGCCTGATGGTTTTACTTCAGCTTTCTGTGAAGCATTAGCTGGGTTAGTTGTTATTTTCCCGTCGGGTATCTGCCACATGTACCTACAAAGTCGTAGGTCCACATGAGAGGCAAGGAGTAAGGTGTTTTCCACCTGAACTTGGACGTTTCACATGCACCTCGGTTTTAAAGGCCTGCCCGCTACTGACGAGAGGCAAGTACCCCGAAACCATTCTATCGATGGTCGTACTGACCAAATGAAATTAATTACTGCTTTTCATATATAGGAAGTTACTTGTGACGAATAGTCTAAATGGAAGACATTGCACAGGTGCCTGATGTTGTGGATGGTAATAAACCTGTATCAGCCTGGAATATTAGTGAGCCTTATTTTCGCCACCTCCAACATGACAATCATTTATAATTGATAATAGTCAACAAATCTATCAATCTTTTTTTTTCTGAAAACCCTGCCTTAAGTGTTAAAACAACATTACCTTTCCGTAAACAGGATTTGCTGCTGCTAAAACTGAACACCTAGCATTCAAACTGGCATGTATACCAGCCTTGGCAATGGTTACTCTTCCTTGTTCCATAACTTCGTGTATGGCAGTCCTATCGATGTCGCTCATCTTGTCGAATTCATCAATACAAACTACCCCTCTATCAGCTAGAACCATGGCACCGGCCTCCAACTGCCTTTCGCCTGTTTCCTGATCCGTAGTCACAGCTGCTGTCAAACCGACACCAGAAGAACCCCTCCCGGTAGTAGGTATTGCCCGCGGAGCAGTACATAAGACATATCGAAGAAGTTGTGACTTGGCAACACTGGGATCTCCGATCAGAAGAACATTGATATCTCCTCGAAGTCTAGTTCCATTCGGAAGTACTTTTTCCACACCACCAAGAAGAAGACAGAGAATAGCTTTCTTTATGTACTCATGGCCGTGTATCGAGGGTGCCAGGGATTTTGATAATAACTCAAAAATGTTTTTACTGGATTTTGCAAGACTCTTGCAACGAGCAACATCTTCTCTGGAAATTGAAGGACTGGCTTCTTTACTGAGTTGAGAAACGTTGTTTGCAATCACTATGGTTCTAAAATGGTAGGTTGGGGAATTTAAATAATCCATCTGGAAGTTACGTATACATACAACTGAATTCATGAAGAAAAAACAATTCCTATCATATTAATAATAATTTTTATTTCATGCTAATAATGACCATGTTTACAAGGCATCTTGGTGGATTCATAACGACTGATAATTTTAAAACTATGATGTTGACACCTTAGATAATTTTAAAAAGGCTTTTTACTTCTTGCTGTGTAGTTGTCCGTATTATACTTTGGAAGAATTTTATGCGGATACCTTTTAATTAAATAATTTTCTTTATTGCTCCTTCATAAAATGTGCCAGAACCCTTTGTTTAACTTGCTTTCTTGTTTCATATATGTTGACTGACTTAATTGTAGCTTTTAGTATTCAGAAAAATGAGAAATAAAGCTTTCTATGTTTTTTACCACTTTTATTCGAAACTAACGTTACTGCAGGTTCGTCCAAAAGGACATTTTCAAACTTATACTTTAAACTAAAAATATATAACACCACTGTAAGTACTAACAGAGGTACTTAGCTTAATTGAGTACCTGAATTTTGCTTATCTGTGACAATGTGAATACGCTAATTTAAAAACCGATGAGTAAACTAGATGGATTTGATAATTTAACAGGTTGCACCCACAATTTTTCTACTTATGAATTTCCAAGGGTTTGCAAACCTTCCTTTTATAGTGCAAAATGTCCGTATCGTTTAGATTTGGGAACTTGTGGTTGCATCCCAAGGAATAGTTTGAAAACGTCGAATCATTTTTACCTAGTCTGAAGGACCTTTCATGTTCATCATACCAATTTGAGAAATTTCGACCACATTGTCCCACATTAACAGATTTCTATAACTTGTCCACTTTATCTTTGGCAGAAAAAACAATGTGGGAGTGGCATTCACACCACTTGGCAGGTTATCTGATTTTCTTCTCAATGCCGAAGATAAAATGGACAAGTCGGAGAAATCTGGAGAAGCGTCTGGAGTTTATAAACTTAAATGTCCGAAGTGTAATAGTGTTTATGTGGGACAATGTAGTCGAAATGTGGCCAAAATGTTAGTACAGAAGTGATGTTTAGACATGTACTCCAAAATAAGGATTATTTTGATGAAATTGAAGTTTGCGGTACAAATTGAACAATAATTTTAGCCTATGAAGTGAGATAAAAGATAAAAATTTTGCTTGAGCCCAGCTACCAAATAATATTATCTTGATATCTGCTCATTACTTCATATTGTATATTTCTCCTTGTTTATGTAAACCTACTTTCATGACCGTACAATCATATATTCAATACTTACTTGAATGTACCATTTGTATAATTTCCTTGTTTATTGGGCAGCGATCTAAAATTACCAACAACCTGTATACGATCGCCGGGTTTGCAGCAATCTACCAGATCGTTATCACATATAATATCAATAGAACGGGGAAGCTGACCTGCAGGAGCTTTCTCGGGCATTTCTTGTATCGAAATGGTTTGATGATCCTTGTAAGTTGATAAACCAAACTCTGTTTCGAGAGGATTTCCTTCATCATCCTAACGTGAAGAAAAATAAGTCACGAATAGATTAAATGAAATGAGCAACTAACTTTTGTAGGATAAACAGCAACGGAAGGTACAGCTTCCAAGGAAGTCAGGTCAGTATACTTTCTTTCCATTATTTTACCATTGGCTGGGCAATAATGAACGCTACGAACTACTTTTGGGTGAATCAATGAGCCTATAAAACAAATCAATAAGATGAATGTTGATTCATAGGGACGTAAAAAGTCCCCTTCTAACTTTTGAACAGGACTAGATAAAAAAGTTGAACAGAATTTACATTAAAAGGCATCAGGACTTTTTGATGAAATCTGCAAAGAATAAATATAAATTTAGAAACACTTTTATTCAAAAACTCACACTAATTTATGGATTTTTTTTGGCATGGAGCACCTCTTCTTCAAACAGGATGGTTTGAAAGTAACTGAAAGACAATTATCTGGAGCTATTAAGAGGCAGATTTGGTACCTTAGAATGGCCTGTTAGTTTTCCTGATAAGATGCCCTTATATTTTTATGGTTTTTCGTGAAATCTAAAATATATGTGACACAACCACAGTCCATTCCAGAACTCATAGAATGAGAGATGCTTGCAATGAAATCATCCCAAAAACATTTAATAAGTTGAGAAATTAATGTGTGAACAAACTCTTTGTCAGGAAGTGGGTGGTAATCATTTCAGACACTCATTGGAGTGAAATGGTGTAGGTACTAAATATTATTTTCATTAAAATTATATTCATTGGTTCATTCATTCATTTGCACATCTCAAAAACATCATAAAACTGTTGATTTTTCCTGAACAGCAGGTCTGGTTTCGAAAAATACACCTGTCATAGATAGAGAATAGAAAGACCTATCAAGAGATGTATGTGATGACACTATTGTTATTGAAAAGTGCTAAAAACGATGCCTGTTTACATAAATTTTGTTCTAACTTGAAATCTCGTTCCGTTTAAAAAAAAATTGAGGAGAATTTTTTACATCAACACTGTAAATAGAGTACTATACATTTTGTAACTATGCCCTCTACACAAACTAAGTTTCCCAGGTAAGCACAGTTCAAAGAACGGGGTGTTACATGATTCTTTCCAAAACTGCCTTCAAATGCAACAAAAAAATCCACATCAGATTTCGAATAGTCCGTTTGTACAGTCATTACAAAATCTTTGAGAGCTTTCTGAAATGCCACTTGTTCTTCGAAGGCATTTTTAAGAAGGGACTGAGTCCTGGCCGGATTTTTTCTGCGCAAATCATTAATGTTGACCACTAGCCGATGACTTTTATCTGCTATCATGTTTTTAACCATTTGTGTATATTTTCCTTGGTCTTCCTGAAAAAAGTGAAGGAACATTATTGTAGTCAAGTGAAAAGAATACTTTTTGTTCTTTTACCTCATCGTCAAGAAAATCAAGGTATTCTCTATGTAAATCCCTAAGACGTTGATCAATATCTTGACTCTCCATTATTTCACTTTTCCTAAAATCGAAAAAGAAAAACAACCACACAACAACCTTCTTAGTTTTGGTAATTTTGGCGCGAAATGATGAAATCTTCTTCTTTCAATTTTTAACAGTAAGTAAGCACAACGAGAGAATCAAGACCAAAGAGAAAACGATAGTTGTTAGGAGAAAATGTTTTGGCTTCGATTTCTCCAGCCTCAAACAAAAAATATGGAAATCTGCCGAAGAGAATAATTAATTTCAAATTATACTTTTGCAAAAATGTGTGAATTATTCACAGAAATTATTTTCAGGTAGAAACTGAAAAACACTCTTTCAAAACAAGTATTTTCTTACTACTTTTAAAGTTTCTCATACTCTTTTTTGAAGATAGAAACGTATGAGTTTGAACTTTCAATCACAAATGAAATAGAAAATACTGTCTGATGAATTTGATTCTGCAAAATAGAAACCTCACGTGAAAATTATTCACATGGAGTTTGAAAAACTCTATCATGCTCGGTCAAAACCAAGTCAGTTATTGAAATTTGGTAGGTAGTATTTTTTCATTTAATTTCGAAGTGAACTGACCATACGTAGTACCATACTGTTCTCTAACAGTTTTAAATTCAGATAGATACAAACCCAAAATATGTCAATTGTCATTAGAGTGCATGATTTGTTCATCATTGTGTAGTAAAACAAGTTATAAGTGACCAGTGTCTAGTTTCCTAAATTGATATTTATTTAAATACCAATACTACGAAAGCGTAGAAGTTATACATGTAAATTCACAGTTACAATTATAAATTGACAAATTCACACCTACAACTGTGGATTTACACTTATTGTAAATTATAGTCAGCGTCTTTAGACAAGTTCTTCGCATGTACACTTTGTACTCAACACAATAGATGTGAGCACGTTACATTTATTGCAAATTCTCTGATTGATTCGGCCCTTACTTGATGAATATCCATAGTAATTTTATAAACCAAATCTTACGATTTGATCTCCACAAAAGTTTGTGGAATCAGTGTAGTTTATAATATTGCAAATTCATTCAGTATATGGTTGTTAATGAAACAAAAACTAACATAACATATATAGTCGAAATTAGATTCAACTAGTGCAACAAGAACTTAGAAAACATATCACGAATTGAAATTCGTTAATTGAATATAACCACGATTAGATTAGGCTAGAGGTTAGATTTTTGGAAAAGAAAGGTTTTTGGTTTTTTACTTCTTCATCTTTATACAAAAAATGTGGAAATTTTCCAAAGAAAAGAAGGAAGCAATCAATTTCAAACAACCCTTTACAAAGTGGGTAGATCATGCAAATAAGTATATTTCAGAAACAAACTGAAAGAAGTGAAAAAAAACTCTTTCGAAACAGCTGCTTTCATGTAAACATTGACTTACACAAAAGAAAAATACTTTTGAAACAAATACCTTCATGTGAATACTGAATTATACGAAAACATGTGAATTATAGAAAATAATATTGATTATTGTTATCCTTCTAAGCTTACTGTGACCTCAGTTGACGTCTGAAGAAGCAGTGCACCTTTTGGCCGGATAGCTCCAGTTATTCAGGCCACTACACGAAAAAAAGAAGTCATTCCAAAATATTTACTTAATATTTGATTATAGGAAATTTGTCTTATTCCATTGTTATTTTGGGATTGACTTGATTGACAATGGCGCTGAAATTAAATATTTGACTGAAAATTTGTGATTTTCTGAATTCGTATTTTATTACAGCCGATTTCAAACCTTGGAAATAGACATAACACCTCACCCTTCCTGATAATTTCACGTCTATGCCTATCTCCGCATCCGGCTTAGTCATCAAAAATGATAAGATTAGAAATTGAAATATTTCTAAGTAAAAAATGGAGCAAATCACTGTAAATTTAGATGACACCAAACACAAAGTTAAAGTGATTGGACCAGTGAGTGAACTTTTTTTTTGCGTGATAGATGTTGCCACTATTTTGGGATATTCAAATAATGAACAAGGTGAATTCTATAAACTTCTGAAAGATGAACAAAAAAAATATTTCAAGGAGTTGAGATTACTAACTAATAATTCTTCAGAAAAGCAACTTTCTCTCCATAATGCTGATGAAGAAGATAAATACATATCAGAATTTGGTTTGGTATCATTGAAGGAGGTTAGTGGTATACCAATTAATGTTCTTACTGAAATTTTACTGGCTATAAAGAATTATACTATAGAGAAGTTAATGAAATCACTGGAAATTAAAAACCATGAAATTGAAGAAGTGAAAGAATGTGTTGTTAAAGCAGAACAATCTGAAAAAAAAGCATTGCGTAGATCTTTACGGTTGAGAGATAAAGTTGTACAGGAACGAATACGCTCAAAAACGCAATATGTGTATATAAGTACTTCAAAATCATACGCGAATCAAAACAGATACAAAGTAGGAGGTGTTGAATGTTATGAAAATCTAAAAAGTAGATTATGTCAATATAACGGGAGAAGCGCAGTAGGAGATGACTGGTATTACTGTAAGTTTCTGGAAGTGGCAAATTTCAGATCATTCGAACAGCGTTTCTGGGATGTTATGCATGAGTTTAGAGATGATGCCGACCTAGCAAGTAATAAAAAAGTGAAAGAAATGATAAACATGTACTATCCAGATTTGGAAAAAGTATTTGATTTGGTAGCTCAGCATTACAACTCTGAGATTGACTTTTTGAATGAAAGTATGGGCCTAGTCATTGACAATTTGAACATTGACTCAACTAGTGCTTTCATACCAGTCCCTTGCATATTTGAAGAGGAAAAAATATGTTTGAAAAATGAAACAAGGAAAACTATCGCTGATAAAGAGCTGAAAGAAGAACTGTTGAAAGTTATTAAAAACTCTGGTAAAAAATCTTTGAGGCGATTGGAAATATTTGAACCAATTGAAAAGAAATATCTATTTAAGAGAAGGCGAGCCTGGCAGCTGCTGAAGTCACTCAAAGATGATGATATCATAAAATCAATGACAATACGTTACTAGATTGCTAGAATTGCCCTTGGAAAATTCATCATCATATACATTAATTATTCACATCATAGACGGTGTATTAATAAATAATCATAACATTAGACAGTATACCATATAACTCAGGAAAAATTTAATATGATATTTGGAATATGTGAGCAACGATTTTGAAGTTTTTGGTGAAAATTATAGCTGTATGAAATTCAAACAATGATAATAGATAGAGGTAAAACAACCGGAGAAAAATGAAATCGAATAAATATATGTCATTATTTTTGAATACCAAATACAGCGTGAAAACAATTCTAGGGGCACTTAATTTCACCTTTGATGGGACAAGACATGAAAGAATATTCGTAATTGATGAAGAAATTGTAGAGTAAGAATGATTAAACATTTTTTGACATTTCTTGACATATTTTTTGAACATATATCTATCTAACATGCTTAATTCCTGACATCTAAAATAAAGCTATAGCTAGAAAGATAAAATAATTGAATGTATGCTTGTAGAGCTTCGTCTATTTTGACTTACTGTATCATATCATAGTAGTGCTTATACACTTGAATATAGATAGACATTGTTGACATTAAATTTCAATGGAACTTTAATGGGGCGTAGTGGTGGATAACGAAACCCCTGGCCGGATAATGCTGACAGCTTAGGCCTTAAAAGACAAGAAGAAGAATGAAGGTACATATAACCTTACTATCTTTTAGGGTTTGTTTTGGTTATAATTTTTAATGATTTTACCAATTTAAGTTTTAATGAAATGGCTCCAGTTTCTCCTGTACTTAAAAAGAAAACTTGGGCTGATGTGAATAAAACTCGAAAAGAAGAGAAGAAGAAACGAAAGGAAAAAAGCCTGTTGAAAAAAGTTTTGAATACAAAAATATCTAATGAAACTGTCAGTGACAGTAAGATAAAATCGGAAGTTACAGTAGAATCGAAAGAATTATCAACACTTTCGATAGCAGTTCCAGGATCAATTTTAGAGAACGCCCAGTCTCTGGAACTGCGCACCTATTTGGCTGGTCAAATTGCTAGGGCGGCTTGCATATTCCAAGTTGATGAAATTGTTGTATTTGATGATTATGGCGATGTGGCTTCTGCTAAGAAGTCTACTTTGGAAAACGATGCAGGTACAGTATCTGCTCGTCATTCTTGTATTCAACTAGGTAGAATACTTCAATACCTAGAATGCCCTCAATATCTGAGGAAGCATTTTTTTCCAATTCATAAAGATTTGAAATTCTGTGGTATTCTGAATCCCTTGAATGCACCTCATCATTTGGGTCCAAGTGAAGAGTTCTCATTTAGGTAAAAATCAATTTTATCTTAATTTTTGTAAGTTGTTCATTGTGAAGGGTTCTTTCATATATATATATTTTTTATTTCAATTGGTTGTCGACAAATTGTTAACTGCTGGAATAAGGTGCACGGTAAAATTGTTGCCACAAAATGAACAATCTAAAAAACGGAAAGGGGTTGTAGTATCGCCAACCACACCAAAAAGCGAGACTGGAGTATATTGGGGATATTCGGTCAGAATTGCATCTTCACTTTCTAAAGTGTTTTCACAATGTCCCTACAAAAATGGGTGAGTTAATCTACTTTTTTCAAAACAAGAATCTTCAATCGAAGCATATTTTTTGTGTTCCAGCTATGACCTATCGATAGGCACTTCAGATAAAGGATCCTCAGTAGATGAATTCAGCTGTCCTACTTTCAATCACATGCTGGTAGTGTTTGGTGGTTTGCAAGGTATTGAAGCAGCTTTGGAAAATGATGATATTCTCAATGTAGATGACCCCAAGCTGCTTTTTGATCATTACCTAAACACGCTTCCCGAACAAGGTTCTAAAACTATCCGAACGGAAGAAGCTGTTTTAGTGAGCTTGTCAGCTCTGAGACCTAAACTGAATCCTGCGAATAAACCTGTTGAATTTGAAAAAGTAGATATCCTCGTTATGGACGCTGATGAACATAAGGAAATAATTGAAGGCAATAGTGCCAAAGATGACTGTGAAGACCCACTTTATTTTGAAATAGAACTTCCTTACATTACATACCACTGCAAAACTAGCAGGTATTGTAAATAATATAAAAAAATAATTTCCCAGCAACAACAATTAAAAAATCTTAGGTATTCAAACAAGTGATTCCTTGTAAAGGAAATTGATTGTTGATTAATCAAATAAAAACTGACTTTGAAATATCAACAGCAACAACTTTGATAAATGTTCTTGAGGAATGATTTTGTTAACAATTGAATTCTGATAAAACTTAACTTGAATCACATTGGCACAGACTTTAAACATTGCATTTGTGAATTGAGCTTTCGACTGTTTCTCTCAGACTTGCCATTACAGCTCTCTGGTCTACCGAGTTTATTATTGCTGTCCCTGACACAATCATGTTCGCTCCTGCCTAAAACACAAGAATTAGGGTGTGTGTGTGTGGGTATATATGAATATATATATACAGTAGACAAAAATATGTTCATCTAAGTTTTCTAAATATATCCTCTACTTTTAGGAATTTGGAGTTATATACAGTAGAGAGTTTCGATAAAGAACATACCTCTGCACAAGAAGTTATAGTATTAAGGCCAACTCCGCCATCCACTTCTATATCTAATAGAGGATAATTACGTCGCAACCATTGTACTTTAGGCATCATTTCTCCCATGAATTTTTGTCCACCAAATCCAGGTTCGACAGTCATAACTAGTATCATGTCTGCGTGATCGATATATTGTCTTACAGCTTCTATACCTGTATCAGGTTTCAATGCTAATCCCACTTTCATTCCTGCTTCTCTAACTTTTCTACAAACTTTCAGCACATTCTGTAAAACTGGTTCTATATGAAACGTATATTGATTGACATTCGCATCAGCCATGGGTTCAATCCACTGAAATGAGAAGTATTACGTGAAAATTCAACTGGACTGCAATGAAGACTAACTTTTTCTGGATCTTGAACCATCATGTGTGTTTCAAAAAAGGCATTCTGTATTTTTTTTCTCAAGCATTTAACAACTGGGTGTCCAAATGTTAGGTTAGGAACAAAAGTACCATCCATAACGTCCAAATGGAGGTAATCCGCACCGTTGTCTATTAATTTTTGTGACTCTACATATAATTGTGACAAATCTGCGTTTAGAATTGACGGTCCAATTTTACATTTCAAAGATGATCTCTCCATTCTTAAGTTTTTCTTTTTTTACTAACCTACAAATAAAAAATCCCCTTGATTTCTTCTTCTTTTGTGTAGTTATCAACATAGTTCCTCTGAGACATCAACAGATGGTACTGTAAGGAAATGTTTGTTCATCCAGTGAATATTTTGAAGGTTCTGTTTATTTAATACATGAGTTTCAATGAATATATTGTGATATTACTGAATATTATACAATACTATTTATCAGATTTCATTTCCAATATGCAGGAGACTGGAATAAATGATTTGGTATTACTTGTATTTCTAGGGAAATTCACACTTACACCTATAAATCATGATAGATGTCTATAGATAGCAAGTATTTCGCTTGTACATATATTTAAAAAACATTTTTTCCGTTAACCAGATGTCGCACCCCTACGAACGACAACCCTCAGAAGTCGAAACTTGTGCGAGCTAAGGACTAACGAGGTCTTACCTTTTAACGTGTGATTCCTAACACGGGTTGGACGATAGCAAGTGAAAATCGATCGTTCAGTCTACGGTGTGAACCAACTACTCCCACATCGGTCGATTGAGAGTGAACAAAGCACCCACGTCAAACCGACCTACGAAATTGTACACTCCACAAATTCATTTAGTATGTAATTGATAATGATACAAAAATTAACCTGTAGGCTAACTTAGTTAAAGTTAGATTCAACTAAAACAACTAGAACACGGGAAACATCAAGTATTATGAATCATTAGATGAGTATAGCTTTGGTTAGGGTAAATTAGAGGTTAGATTTCGTTTTCATTAACTGACATCTGTTATGCTAATGGCATAATGAGAATGTGGGGAGATTGCTGTTTGTAGACGCTTGTCTTGATTTACAGAAAATTTAAAAATTCACAATGTAACTGTGATTTTTTTCCATTATGGGTGTCAATGGCATACACTCAAATAACTTAACTTCAAAATCCAAATTTTGAAACTTATCTGAAATATTTCTCATTTATGGAGCTCTGAAAATCAAAATTGCCAGTCAAAAATATATATGTTGACAGCATTTGTCATGACCTCCGATTCATTTTAAGTCATTTAGATTGATAGGTCAAGGGCATTTTATCATTGTGAAACTCTGTAAAAGCGATAAGGGTAACATTCAACTTTTCCATCGTTTGTATGCGTTGAGGAAAATAACTGAAAAAATAACTGAAATACTGTGATTCTGAAAACCTATGAATTGAGGATCGACTTAAATAATTATCTACTGTTAACTGATATAGATAAAAGTATATATTGAGCAGTAAATTCAACTCTTACCGTTCGAACAAAAAGCTAGACGTAGAATACTTTACCGTTTTGGTTCATAAAAGCCCAGTATATTCAATCAAGTACTTTTATTGTAATGATATTCATTTCCAACGAAAGTTAAAACAATAAATAATATTATATCCCATTGATATGTCGAAGAACATCTCTCGAAAATATTTTTGTTTTGGGAAGGCTACTAAAATTTCATGATCTTTCAGTTTCATGCAACAAAACACCGTAGCCTAGAAGTGTTATCCAAAAATGTCAAATAAAAAAACAAATGTTTACGAAAATATATATTCAAATTAATAAACAAAATTCTTGGATTTCTGCGTATTGATATTTATCATGAAAAATCCAGTACTTTGTACACTTTCCAGGATTAGAATCTTTGTGGTATCCATTTCGGTGAAAAGATTCCTCTTTTATCGAAACCAGTTTCACTAATTATTTAGAAACAAATTATGAATTCGACATTTATCATTTTCACCATATATTTTCGTAATTTCATCTTGAATACTTTTCAGTATCAAATCATTTTTATATTTCTGATCTTTATGTTTTATATTTTGAACTTTCTTTTTCTTCACTCCAGGTTTGTGAATCAGGAAGGCGTTATCCAGAACTAGAAAATCGTAGTCCAACATACATAGATAATAAGCCTGTAACAAAAAATGTGTTAATTTAGAACAAAAGAGAACTTTCAAAAATCAAAACTTATGCGAGCTTACATTCAACAGGATTTAGTTGATATATAACATTCACATTGAACACGTTTGTATGTACTGTCAGATTTTGAACAATAATATCATTAATCAATGCCTGATTTTGAACAATGATATTAGGAGCAATATGTTAAAGTCTTGTTCCGTAAGAAGTCAAAGATAGGTTCCAAATTTACATTTTCTATTTTTAAATAAAGTGTACTGGCATTTCCTCATGTCTGCTTTGCGTAGTAGTAGAGGGCAAAGTATGCAAGCGGGAAACTGGCTGTCGACAGACAATAGTGTTATTATTTGGACGAGAACTTTTGATTTTTTGACTACCAGAAAGGTGGGCACTGAATATTAAAATTAGGTAAATTGACCAACACTTATTGTTTCGATACAAAATGCATCATAACATATTGAACAAATAGTGAATGATGTTTCACTGTGTAGATTATAAGCGCAACCAATTGAGTGATAAGTGTTTGCTAGATTGTGTAAGTAACGTCAATATCCACCAAAGTCAGCTTAAATATTTTCTTATCATATTTTAGTTGTTCAGATGCACATTTGACGATGTGCATTGAAAAAGATTAACTTTTCGTTGCAAAATGAAACGGAATTTCTTCAATTTTGGAATGATGATAGATGCAGGAATTGGAAGGAACTGAAATTGAGGAAAAAGTAAGGCGCGTGTAAATATAAACCTTGCCGAATCTTTAAAGGGTTGCTCATTTTGATACATCTGGACACATTGTATCAAGTTCTTGGTCAAGCGATCCAAATGAATTCAGTTCTTCTTTGAACGTCAAAAATGCATTTTGTTTTGAGATTGACATTTCGGACTCTACTATTGATGGCGGCAGCCCTAACTGTCGCCGAAATTGAAAGTATTTCTTATCAATGTTGATTGAAGCATCTCAAGAACAGTGTCCAGTGTGTTTGGAAAATATCGTATGTTTAAAAAAAAATGGTGTACCTCGCATAGGTAATGAATACAAAACATCACTTCTTCTCCTGATGAAACAGTATAGGTACTGATTCAACTATGATTTGAATAATATTTATTCCGAATGATGGCTCAATCACGAGAGTAATCCATTAAAAAATAAAACATGAAATCGCGACAAAATCAAATGTATTTATTTGTCCTACATCAACATTTAATTTTTTAAAGTAAATACTGACTTAAGATTATGTTAATTTTCATAATTCATCATTTTCAACTAATTCATAAATTCTAATTCATTATAAGTTCAAGGAATTTGGGTTCCAGGAATCATCTAAAAAAACAATCACTTAGATAATATTTATATAACATGCCATCTTTCTTTGCCGTTCCAGTTTTTTAACCTACTTATCATTTTCATAGAAATATATTTCGATAATTTTATTATGTTTTTTGAATGCAAGCAGTTGTATTATCCCCACAAACTCTCCTCCTCAAGCAAAGTAACGTAAAGAACGATTTCAAAGTAAACAAGTTTTTAGTTGAAAAAGGAATTATAATTTTTCAATTTATATTTTGTACCCTTCAAAGTAGTCCCTCTCGGATATAATATTCTTGTGCCAGAGTATTTTCCAATCCTCGAAGAAGACCTTGAGCTCTCAGCGATTCGGTTTTCATCTCCTCAATCGTCGAATCTATAATCATCTCTTCAATCCTGGGAACAGGAGAAAGTCACAGGGGGATAAATCTGGTGAATACGGTGGCTGAGGAATGATGACGAGTGAGCAGGTGTATTATCGTGATGGAGAAGCCAAGAATTGTTTTTACCGGACATTTTCTTTATATTACTTCTCGCAAGCAGCGCATGACTTTAATATAATACTCCTTGTTGACCGTACGACCATGTAGCAAGAACTCTTGATATGCACTACGCCACGGTGCGTACTTCTTTTGGTATTGGCTCTCCTGGGCTTGATAGTGATATTTTTCGTTTCTTGGGGAAGAGGTACATTCGTCAAAATCTTATTTTGTGGATTTTGTATATTATTTATCAAACGAAGAAAAGAGAAATGGAACTTTCTATGTTTTTTACCACTTTTATTTGTAACTAACGTTACTGCAGTTTCGTCCTATACGGACATTTTCAAACTTATATTGTATAAGTTAATTATGATTTCCTACCACGTAATACCAGCTGAATCCATCAATATATTTATCAAACGGCTGGTATGTTTCATGAAGAAATACGTTCACGCCAAGAATGCATTCAGGGCATTACTTAAGCTTCATTTTTTACTTATGTAATAAAAAAAGAACAAGAAAAACTATGTTTCTATAGATTTTGTTGAATAGGTCATAGAAAGATCAGAAGACCCTTCTAGCGAAATGAAAACTGAATAAAATGATATCATACTACCTACCAAAACTTAATTCGTATATATCACTTACGCTACGATATTTTTTTGTGTTGATTTAATGCAATACAGTAGCTTATTGAAGATCATCTTATATAATTATCAACCTCTGTACTCAAAATCAATAGTTCAAGTCATCAAAAGAATAAAGGTTAGCCAAAAAAATGAGAGCACATTAAAGAGCAGCCTAAAGAGGACGAATTAGGGGCAAATATATCGTTCTCTACATCGAACCGTTTCTTCAAGGACTGAAAATTAAATCTGGTGTATAATAAAGAATAAATTGCGTGCAGATTTTTGTCAACAACCCAAATTAGGCATAAAAGTTAGAATTTTGTTACGCCAATAGTGACGCTAACAAGACCAGCATGCGAAAGAGACTTGATCAGGATTAAAAATCATAATGTTACGAATAAAAGAAGGGGTTACACTTTAAAATGCTGTTGAACGTCGAACACTTATTTTATATGTTACATATACCTGGCACATTTTATTTCCTTGTCCTTCCCAGTTCAGCCTTTCATCCCAGAGTGGCTCTTTCTGCGTACAAACAAAAAACGGTTCCCAAACAATTTGCTTTCCGTGCCGTTTCGCAGCAGTGAATACATCCAAACCTATACTATCAGTTTGTTCCAACCATTCTTTAACACGGGGAACACGATGGCAGGATCCGCAAACTTTTTCGTGAAAGGTGATGGCAGTTTTATTACGAATCATATCCTGAAGTTCTTTCTTTGTTTCGGGAATCTAAAAATTATAGAAATTATTTTGGCTACACAATCTACCGCTTGGAATGAGGCTGGACATAGCAGATCACCTCGTGATGTAATACAAAGACCAAGGCGTAAGCCAAAAAGAGCCGGGGCCAAAAAGAGAAAGAGAGCGACGGAGGCAGGGGTGGCAGCGACCAAGGCGTAAGCGCATTTGCGGCGCCGGGGCCAAAAAGAGAAAGAGAGCGACGGAGGCAGGGGTGGCAGCGACTGTAAGTGCACCGTCCTCCTCCCCCACTCCACCTCCAACAGCAAGGGCACTTCCTGCGGGAGCGCCAAGAATAAAGGCAAGGAACCGGCTGCCCCTGCAGGAAAGCTCCCTCACTTGTGCACCTCCACGGAGGGAACCCCAAGAAGGTTGAAGAAGCCGCGCAACGACAGTAATGTTGCTCAAATGTCGCTGCACCTTCCAAAACCTTCGCGGAGGCCGCCGTGAGACACCTCAAGGTTGCCAAAGAGAATGTGTGTTCGGCGAGTCTTGGCCTATACTGCCAATATAAAGGAGATGTCCCTTAGTGACCTGTCCACCTTCCTGGAAAGGACAGAAAGGACGATGACTTAGCAGGACAATTACTAGATGTTGGCTACAACAGAGCACCAAAAAATATTCAGAACTGAATCTTGAAAAAAAATATATGATTGAATATGATTATCAACATACACATAAATGCTCTCATCAGAGAATATTTATGTACAAACAATGAATATTTTTCAAATTTATTCGGAATTTTTGTTTATTACATTTTTATTAAGCATTCGGTAGCTCATTATAAAACTTGATACCTTGATAATAAATTGAATTTTCCCCAACATTTGTTTTAATTTTCATCAATTTCAGATTGCCTAAATATCTTGTCGAGTGGTTGTGTTGGTCAGAGGTGTTCTCTGGCATTTAAAAGTATTCGAGATTATTCAAAAACGATTCGTAGTGACGTCATTGATAATAAAATTCGCTAGAATGAAATGATACAATTTGTGTCAGATGTCAAATTCAAAGATGAAAACAATTGTTTTCAATTTTCTCTAACCTCAGAATCGGATTTGTACATGCAATTTTTTGCATAAATAATACAAATGTAGCTGCATGTATAAACCACTATGCCAGAATTTTTTTTATTCAAAATATGGACCACCAAAGAAAGTGTTGAAACCGTCATTCAAGTAATAATTTCCCAGCTTCATTTTGTACATCCTTAAAATGCAAATTTTCAGCACTTTATAAACTATAGGATAAAAATAAAGAGAAACTGACAACTGACGTAATGTAACGTCAAATTCCGATACAAAATCAACCAAATCATAGTTGATGTGACGTCATCGTTCAACGTCAAAATGTATTACCGACTCAGAGTAATAATATAAATTTAGATGCCTTTCTATCCTTGCTTCTGAAGCCAAATTACTTTGTTTTATGTTAACGACAGTCCTCCAACTAACAAAAATAGATAATACCGATTCGGGTGTTGTCGGGTTCTGATGTTGCTCAGAGTAATAAAAAAGTTGTTGTTGGAGTCCGTTTTCCATCGGCATTATATTGTTTGTTCCCATGTTTATGCTTATGGTTTGCGTCGTGATTATTATTTATTTCGTCGTTTTTGGAAGTTTTTTAGTGATTACAGACGAATATGTTTTGAATACATAAGCACCAGAAAACGCCTCAAATTTGAATGTTATTTTCGACCAAATGAATGAAGATACACACTTTCAATTTATGTGAGGATGACAAATCTAATTGTTTTTTTGGTTTATGCAAGTTGACTGAAGGTCCTTGTAGTTCAACTTGAATATACATCTTATGATTTTGTTCTGGGTTTTTAATTGGTTTCATTAAGGAATTTGTTTCCACTTCCTATACTGATGTTACTTACATGTTGAGTTTTTGGATATACTAATGAAAAATAAATAAGCTTATGAACAATGACATATCATCCGTGTCATCGGTACGTACCCTGTAGCCTTCCAGAATTTCGAAGAGAGGCAGGACAAACACATTAGTCGAATTCTTTTTGAAATAATCTGGCCGTTTTTGGACAAACTCCAGGAATTCCTTTATGAAGTTTCTGGTGGGATACAACTCAATATCGGAAGGAAAAACGAAATGCGTTTGAGCATTGAGTTTCGCCACATTCCTAGCCACGTTGATGGGATACGTGAGGTTCTTCCTTTCTTTGTACATGTCCCCATCTTTCACCGTTTCGAAAGGCGGTTTTTGAGAACAATCGAATTCATCTCTGTAGATGTCTAGTAGAGGACGATCATGCTGTAAAAATATTTCGAAATATGCAATACATTCATTATTTTAGTAAAACCATAGTAACTTGAATATGGTTGAGGCAGGAAACTTTGAGAACCTATAATTTGGAAAGGAAAATTTTTACCATCTCTCGATTCATTCTGTTAGTACTAGTAACTGGTTGAATTGAAATCGTTATATTTTCAGGAGAGATGTTGAGATAAATTACTTGATTGCAATGATTTTCTCGTACTCTATTATATGCGTATGATTGGTAGATGTCGACTGTTTTGTATTTCATAGGTGGTATGAATGAAGTGTTAGCAATAAAGAAAAAAGAAGAAGAAGAGTAATAGGTTAGGAATAAATAGTTGTATGAAAAAATACTTGTTTTTATTTGCCTTCGTTGTAATGGTTGTGTTATCAGATGCAAGATAACATGTTATTCTAAGCAAGTAAATATAATGTAAGAAACTAAGTAGCACAGTAAACAACAAAAAGTTGATTTTTGTAAAAGAAAGGTTTTGACTTTATACTTTTCCACCTTCATACAGAAAAAGTGTGGGAATATTCCAAAGAAATAACTTTCAGGCACAAAACTGTAAAAAAGCCCTCTCCAAACAACTACTTTCGTATGAACATTGAATTATACAAACACTTTTCCCTATTTAATTTGTTCTTCAAACATTCGTTATGGGGACATCATGAAAAGAGGGAGGGGTTCAAGATAAAGTAACGGTGATAGTTAAATTTCAAGGCCAAATTGCAAGCTCCAAGACCATATGCAGAGGACGGGATAGCCATATAGTCCAAGGTTGTGTGACTCCGTATTCAAGGTCATTTAGCGTGCACATATGAGAGCACATTCCCCACTCCAACTCGATGTCTATAATAGAGTTGAATCTCAAGGTCAAACTACACGTTCAAGGTCATATGACATGCAGCATGCACTCCAAACAGTCGTTAAGGAAATTGAATCAGATATCATTCACGGGAAGTTTATTCTCTGAAAATTTTGTATATAGTTTTTTCTTATATTCAGTATGTTTCATCTTCAAATGACCTCCAGAGATCAAGTTAAAAATTACTTACGGTCAAACCCAGCCTTTATATTTTTCCACCGTTTTTATTTCTGTGATAAAGTGTGGATTCACATTCGAAATGACCTTCACCTTCGATTACTTTGGAAGGTCATGATCAAAGACAAATCTGAGTCGACCAAATCAGATTCTTCCGTGATGAAATCTAATGTATTGTTGGGTAAAGCTGAATTTTGTGGACATTATTATTATTATCTCCCGTACATCATGGGTAAGCAAAGACCACTCCCCATACCGTGGGGTAAGTGGTCATTGGGTCCGAGAATCATGTGCCCTGAACAAGCCCAGTGAGCCAAGAATGATAGCCTTCTGCATCTATCCGGCTAAGATTTCTGCCTTGGTGCGGCAAGCCAGTAAGATTTTCAGATTCGAGAGTAGAAAGGGCATCATTCCACCAAAGACTCGAATAATCAAAACAAACATCTTGACAGGGTGTTCTGAATAGAGTCTATGGAGTTCGAAAAGAAAATCTCGATATTTTTTCCGTTTTCTGAGGATGGGGAACGAATAGATACAATATAAATTCGGCACTTCTAGTTCCCTACCGTGGATTCGATAACCCCCGGAGCGTAGGGCAACACCGGTGTCTCGCTAATACCGTAAAAGTGTCGTGGGTGGTAATGAAGCACTCTTAGGGCCGCGTTACATTAACGGATGTAGGCTGAGATGAATAGATGGATGTACCTATATATCATTATTATTATTATAATCATCATCACCATAATTATAATTTACCTATATCCATTTGGCAATCGTTTTCGGAAATACTGTGTATGAACAAATATTGGCGGGGTATTATTCCGAGAGGCCGGCATTTCTAAATACCTGCCTCTATTCAGACTTTTTTTCGACAATAAGAGTTCCCTCCCAGGAATAAAAAAAAAAAGTATACGACAGTAGTACGGAAAATTCAATAATCCAACATGAAATGTGGACTTTGCATATACTGATGTATATGATCTTCGTATGAAGTAATACGTATTTACAACGTTATATAAAGATTAAATTTTATTCAGAGGTATGGGGCAAATTACGGATATGCAGTTGGTTAGTATCTTGTCCACTAGATGGAGTAACATTTTGTTGTTCACTCCAACTTAGGAAGAGGAATGAAATACTCTGAAAGAATTTTTCAATTGTGGAATATCATTGACTTTAGGTCGATGATGGTCACTATCTTGCACTGATGAGTGGCTAATAAGCCCGAAACCGGTCGGCAAGTGTGCCCATTCCATAATTGAAGGTCGACTCTTTCAGTTATATTGCCAATTGCATATGCAGGAAATTTTCTGTGAAGATTCCTGCACTGGCGCCTGTCGGATATAATCCAACACCCTTCGTGGTATTAGCCATGGAAGTAGTTGTTTTCTGATAGGCGTCAGTCCATTAAACCTACTGTGTAGGTATATAGAGACTGGCTTGAACGTTTAAAGCACATTTGCTTCAGATTAAATTTTATTTGAGGTGATACTTTTGAACCCTTCAAAAACTGAACAGTCGCTGGAACTTTCATTTCATGATAGAAGTATAGCCTTTAAAACTTATAAATTCAATAGTGGAGACCTGCATAAATCGAGTTGCCCGTTAGGGGTTATATATTTCGGGTTTTAAATTGATATATTGATTTCCATGGCTTCCAACAAATTTATTTTCTTCCCTTTATTACATGTATGTAGGATTTTGAGATTATCTTTACTTATTTTGTGTTTTGATTCTTGTAGGTACATTGTAGATTTTTTGTTCAAACTGGTCGTAAAAATAAAATAACTAGTCGAAATTAGACAAAAGTTTTTTCACTTATTTCATTAAAGTGATCATGACTTTCCACAAAATAAACAAGACATCAATTGCAGGAATTCTTATAATATGCTGATCACTTCTTGAGTAAAAAGAGTGATGATTGGCTCCAAATTGTAACAATTTACTCCAGCCCAGATAACTCATCTTGATTCTGTCTAACCAATTTGGGAGATGGTTACTGTTTAAGGGTACCAATTTTTTCATGTGAACTACCAATAAATCAATTCATTTAATTTCTTGGTTATAAGTTCGGAGCCTTTGGGGAAATTCAGTTCATCCTCGGGCTGGTACAAACACGTCATCTGACCTTGTGCCTATTGTTTTCCCCCAGATATGAATTACAACTCAGTTATTGATATGATTATCATTCACTTTAGAAGAAGTTGTTGGTCTTGCAACTTCGACACGTTTGAAGAGCGTGCCGGTGTTAACCCACAACTGAGTAATCATTAGGTCTGAGAATTGTATGACGGTGACCTGATAAGATGTAGCAAACCAAGGATAACTGCTTTCTACATTTGTCCGACTAAGATTTCTGTCGTTTTTCAGAGAGGAAGGGAAGGCATCATTACACTAAGAACTTCTATAATCAGAACTATTGTAACAGATGAGTCTGGATAGTGTCTATGGAGTTCTAAAAGTCTTTATACACAGTTCATTTAGCTGTTAAACTTCCATTACTCTAAAATATTTGAATAATAGTTCTTCAACTGTTTGTTTTTATTTAAATTATTGACTCTTAGATCAATCAAAATCGAAAAGTCTTAACCACCTACCTGGATTGGTATATGGTCGTGTTCGAAAAATAAATGAAAGGTGACTAGCTCCTTGACCAAAGAGTTCCCTGAGCATATCCTTAGATACGCGATGGACTGCAAAGTACTGAAAAAATCATATCCTGGAGCGTAGAGAGCAACGCTGATTGGACCTCTCCATCGATCCACCAATTGAAGAATATTGTCCAGGAATCTATAGTCTCCCGGCACACTTAAAGTCACACTTTCACTAGATCTAAACTGCATGTCCGCTTGTATATAATTACGAAACACAATGAAGTTTCCTCTGTACTCGACTTCTTTTTCTGGGGGATTTTTGAGTAGGAATCTCGGGGTCCCTCTGGAATTTGCGTGTTGTTGATGGGGGATGACCATAATGACAAAAATCACTAAACTAACAAATGCAAATAGTTGATATACGAAGGAAATTTTTGGAAACATCACTTAAACGTAACAGACTAGGCTGTAAGACTTAGTGTTATCTAGTGAAATAAATATTCGCGGACTGTGTTATATATGAGATTAAGATAATTTGGTGTGTATGTTCTTTTACAATGATCTGACTCTGGAGGTTGGAGAGATAACAATTCAGGTGTCATCAGTTTCATTTTCACACAAATACGAGTATTTGTTGTGTCCATACTGTTAGTCTTCTACAGGGTGACTCCCTGGAAACTGCCTACACTTGTATTGATATCGCGAAAACTATAAATATGAAAATTCTGAAAAAATGTCATCATGTCGATGATGTGGAGGTTGGAGATATAACAATTCGGATGTCATGAATTTTATTTTCAAGAAATACGTATTTGTTGTGCATACCCCCACACAGCACACGACATCCAATGGATGTCCGTTTTACGTCCGGCTCAAGTCCAAACGTCCATGGATGTTGTGAGGACATCCACTGTACGTCAAAATATAGACGCATAATGGATATTCCAGTTTTCTACATCCATTATACGTACATGTAATGTAGAAAAATGCTTAGGTATATTATTTTGATATATCAAGTAAGTCCAACGGACTTTCTTAAAGGACGTCCTTTGGATATCCAAAGTGGTGTCGAATGGGTCTCTACTGGACGTCCACTGGATGTTTTACGTACAGTAAGGGATGTCCAATGGATGTTTCGAATATCCAGAATGAACGTTCATTGGACGTACATAAGATACATACATGTGCTGTGTGGGCCGTTACTTCTTTTCTGGAAACTGCTTATATTGATATCGCGAAAACTATAGGTTAAGTCAATATAATAGTTTTGTATTGAAAAACTTCAATTGCTGAGGTGTTTACTCTCTATTCAGTTGATTAAGTGTTCAATCTGATGACCACTTACTTCTATATAATGATAAAGATTTTGTTCAAATCGTTCTCGCATTTTCCAAATCATTTCCATCCTATCAACGGCATTCGTCGACAATTTTTTGGTGCAAATTTCTTGAAGACTCTGCTGATTGTGTTTTGTAGACTTTATTTTTTTAAGTACACTCACATACGGAAAGAAATCAAGAGGCGACAAATTTGGTGGCCCTGGAGGCCACTCAATGCTTCCCCTTTTCCAAATCCAATATTGTTGAAATTGTCGATTTAAATGGCTGTAGGCGCGGTCCGAAAGAAGGATCACAGGCGTCATATGACACCTTTTTTCCAAAACCGTACACGTCAAATTGACGAAACTTTAAAAAATTGACAATGTACCAAAATTCAATAAATTATCGAATTTCTGCTAAATTAAATAATGAAATCCAAAATGGGTATTAGTAGCTTACTTTGTACTTGGACAACGAGGCAACAAGATCTTCTCAATGTTAAGAAAGCGCCAAAAATTCATTCACATTTCTTGAGTGTTCCTGCCTTTGTTGTGATTACAGAGTGGAACGGTAGCTCAAAGAAAATATCGACGCTCAACAGTTGTGCGGTTAACTTACTTGTACCAAACTTATTTTACTGTTAATATGTTAACAAATTCAAATTTTCAGTTGCGATATTTCACAAAACTATATTAGGCGTGATTTCAAACTTCGAAACATTATCTTATTCTACTTCACATTTCATTTGAACATTTTGGGGTGATTCTTACCCCAAAATGGAGTAGAAATCGTGAAGTCTCACCAGCTAGATTTTCTTGCATAGGAAATAAATTTGTTATTTTTTTTTTCACCGAAGGGTAAGCTAGACGGGCTCTGTACCCGAAACTCCGACACATTCGGAAAGGCGCGCCAACATTATTAACAAATAACCACACCCCACACCGTAAGGTAAGTGATCATTAGGTTCGAGAATCATGTGCCCTAAGCAGACGCAATAAGCCAAGAATGAGCGCCTTCTTCATTTGTCCGGCCAAGATTTCTGCCTTCGTGCGACAAGCAGACATGATGTCAAGCTACGAGAGTAGGGAGGACATCACTTCACCAAGGACTCCAATAAATCAAAACGATCATCTTGATAGAGTGGTCTAGATAGAGTCTGCGGAATTGGAAGAGAAAAATCCCGATATTTCATTCGTTTTTCCCCCTCCTTTCGGACGATATTCGCCTCACCGAGAGCTGAAAACTCTCTCGGTCGAGAAAAACTACATCAGACTAATTAGCTTGTGTGTGCCTGAGGATTTCAATACATTCAGCACTTCTAACCTCCTATAACGGATTCAATATCCTCCGGAGCGTAGGGCAACGCCGGTGTCTCATCAATACCGTAAGAGTGCCGTAGATGGTAATATAGCACTCTTAGGGCCGCGTTATGTCGATGGATATAGGCCGAGACTGCATATGCTGGACATGCTGATAGCAAGTGCATTAGGGTCTCGGGCGCCTCGCGACAGGCTCTGTACCTTGTGTCAGAAACCCATCACGCGACTGCGGTAGACTAAGGTGTTGAAGACACCATCCTGGCAAGCCATGATGAACCCCTCAGTTTTCGATTTCAGCCCACTCGACTTGAGGAAAGCGAAAGTCAGGCGCTTTAATAAGCCGAGATCTTCAATGGTGTTAAAGAAGACCCCATGCATTGGCTTATTCTTGTGTTGATGCGGTTTTTATATGGGCCTTTTGGTGAACGGGTTCTATCTCGGTGAGAGACTTGTGATCACCTCGCCCTAAAAAGAAAAGCTCCGATTTCTGCTCTCTCATGATTGCGAATAATGCAGAGAAGGAGATCCGAGCTCCTTATGACTCTACAGGCTTTATCCTGTACCATTCTGTCATGTAGACACTCCAAACTCAAAAGTCCACGGCCTTCTTGCTGTCAGGAGGAAGTACAACCGTGGAACAGACCATTTGGGATGAAAACTCCTATGGAGGTACATAATTTTTTCAGGTCTTTACGTCGAGTTGATACAGCTCCTCCCGAGGCCACTTCATTACTCCAAACGAGTAGAGTAAGATTGGAACGGCAAGCATATTTGTTGCAGCAACTTTGTTCTTCCCCGACAGTTCCGATGACCAGATCTGTCGGAGTTTGTGCTGATACCTGCCGCGGAGAGAGTTATTATTATCATCATTATTATATAACGAAATTCAAAAGACATAGGTTAATTCAAAATGTCCCTACGCTTTGATATTCACATTAATTTTCTTGAAACTCCGAAGTCGGAATTAGTTTTTTCAAAAGCTACACTGCTATACACTTTTGTATCATTCAGTATTCTTCATTTGTTATTGAAAAGTATCAAGAAGAAATAACTCACAAAAACATTATAAACACTTTAAAACGACTACTTGAGTTTGCTTTTTGATATGTAGTTTATATACAAAACGCCTTTATTGGAATTTTATCTGCATCTTCATACTCGCATATATTATTATGCATGCAAAATATGATCTAAATATTTGAGATTAGGTACTATAATTTGTTCACATCTGATTTGAATATATGAATACTCTAACCCGTTACTTGATGAACATTAATTACACTATCCATAATAATAATTAAGTATAGAGTTTTCACAATAAATTTTATTTAAAATGCGTTTTGCTATATGGTAGCTTCATCAGTTACTGGTACATCAAACTATTTACAATATCTTTTATATAAAAGATTCAATAATGATTATTTTACTATCATTCTATTGAGGACCTTTTTGGTTAGAACTAAGGATGTTGCGAATATTCGCATCCGCAATTGCGGAGCCTCTGCATCGATTTGAACATCCGCAATATTCAATGCGGATATTCATGCGGATGCAGATATGGCACAGGTCGCGATACGAAATAAAGTAGGCGTGGCCAGCGATTGGCGCGAGACCCGTAAACACGAGTGCTTTGACCTCTAGTAGTGAAAATTTCGTTTGGTCACCGTATAGAAGTATAGTAGAAATACATGTGGAAATGCCAGAAACCCAACTCCTATTCAAATTACCAGAGCTTTCAAAAACACATTTACTCTTCAGTAATTCACACAGGCAAGGGACGTCTGGCTTGGTCAGAAAACCAAGCATAATAAATGATCTCGTTATGATGTTGGATTCGTCAAGCGAAGATGAAAGTCAAGAAATGCAGAAGAGTTGTAGGTCTGAAGCTGTGCTCAAAAATCAATTACTTACCCTGGTAAAAAAAGGGTGAATGCGTAAACCATTGATTCCCAAAGTGGTCCAGATGGACCCCCAGGTGTCCACGAGAGACTCAACGGGGGACTATGTTGGCGTGACCAAAAAAATGGGGGTTTACAATTCGTAAGCGGGAATCCACGAAAATTCATCTGGTTTCGATAGTGAAGAACTGAAATGTTGACTTGACTCCACCTAACAAACTTGTAGTACTTGTCGAGGCTTGCAAAGCGCCGCCGCCGTCCGCAACGCTTGTTCAGACGTGTTAATGGAACGAAATACAACTTGTATGTGTGCTTTCAATTGACTTGTTTGATTCTTCACCAATATAAATATTTTATTTATACCACAACAAATGGCGAGCTTTCTGAATAAAATGAGTGAGAATTGATTGGTTTCTTGTGCTGTGAGTAGATGTCAAAAAATAAAGTTGGATGGAATCACTTTTTGTATTGACTAATTTCACTTTTTTGACATCCACTCACAGCGCAATCAATCAATTAATACACTAATCAATTCTCACTTTTTATTCAAAAACTGGTAATTCATGGTTGGAAACGCAGCTGCAATGCAAATTTTCGTATTTAGAACTAAGCTTCACATTTTTTCTCGAGTTTTGGGAATATGGTAGAAGTGTAGCTGCAGGAGCTCCACATGAACCAGCCAAATATTGCTGGTTTCGGCACCACCAGCTAGTGTTCCTAGTGAATAATTATTCATTAGCGCGGGTTTAATTTATGAACCTCTGCATAACAGGTAAGACTCCAAAAAGGACCCAAAATTGCTTTTTATCAAGTAAAACGCTCCAGTTTTCAATTTCAATTAATAATAGTCAATAAAGATATTGAATATTGAAGAATAACTACCTTATTACCTTATTTCGCTACCCATAGTCATTCTTTAGTTTGTCTGAAGACGCATCATTCAAAAACTACTGAATCCTGTCTGTTGCGTCGGTTGATACCTTATCCTGAAAAAACAGGTTTTTGTGTGATATCAGTG